GCATCAAGAGAATTTGCTTGAGGTCATTTGGGCATCTGATAAAGACCCATAGCACACTTGATGGCCTGGGAGGCTAGTGCTAAGGAGATGGCTAGAAAGATGGACATGGAAATATATGTGTAGATTGCAGTTTTAGATTACTAGTTTCATTTACGCCACTGGCAATTACTTATCTCGGTTATTATTCTCACCAAAGTAATTGCACAGATCTCATTATGCAGCGAGATTGCAAAAACAGGAATTACATGCCAAGAAACATGAGCAGTCAGGTGATAATCAGATAATATGCAGCTAACTTAGCTGTTTTAACAGTCTTGTGAACTATGACATGAATAATCAGCATGTACCTGGCTGGCTCAGGCAACCTTTTAATGAATCTAACAATTGCATATATGAGAGGGATATACTGAAGCAAAAGTCTGCCTGCAAACTGATTGAAGTTTCTATTTTTGTCTGTTGCTTAGAAATTATCCCTGGTAACAAGAGATGGCACAGTGTGGTGATTCAATAGTCTTTGGTCTTATGGGGTGGTGATGGGGCAGTGGATAAGACACATGCCTTTGGTGTGAGAGACTTGGGTTGGAGTCCACTGTGAGAGACTCAATGTGTCCCTGAGCAAAACACTTAACCCCTAGTTGCTCCTGAGGCGTGCAACCTCTGACATACTTAGCAACTTTGGATAAAAGCATCAGCTAAATTAATAAATGTAAATGGTCTGTCTCCAATAAATGGACATTTAAATCTTACTACATGTCAGAAAGACCAATCAGTAGGTGCAGATGAATTAGTAAGCAGGCTCTGTTTACAAGAATATTATGCAATTAACTTTCTTAAATCTGCCTCTGTTCTGTTTTGAAAATAACTGATGTTTACATGATATCTGTATTCATAGACTTTCTGGCTGTGAACTCTCATCCATGCATTGTAACATTGTGGCTTCGGCTTTAAAGTCCAACCCCTCCCACTTAAGAGAGCTTGACCTGAGCAACAATTATCTGGGGAATTCAGGAGTGAAGCTGCTGTCTGACGGACTGGAGAGTCCACACTGTAGACTGGAGACTCTGAGGTTTGTTCACTTTGTGTTTCACTTTAGATTGTATCTTTTGTGTTTTTATGTGAGCAGCATGTTTTTTCTAAAAATGTCTGATGTGATATTTATCTTGTCATTACAGACTTTGTAACTGTGAAATAACAGGGTGCGGCTCTGCTTTTCTGGCCTCAGCTCTAAAGTCCAACCCCTCCCATTTGAGAAAGCTGGACCTGAGTGACAACAAGCTGCAGGATTCAGGAGTGAAGCAGCAGTGTGATTTTATAGAGAGTCCACAATGTAGACTGGAGACTCTGAGGTACAAAATTCATATTTCATTTGAATGTTAGTAGTGATTTTTCAAAATCCATCTCTCTGCTAGGGCTGCCTCTGACTAGGGACTTCCCAATCAACAAGTAGTCATTAGATCATGCCACCAGGTGATTTTAATTTAAATATTTAAATCTATATTTGTCAGGCTTCAGAAATTGGTTTGAGTCCCAGCCTGAGAAAGAATATTATCAGGAACACTGTAACACTGTGCCACATTACAGAGAAATAAAAAAATACACAACAACGAGCCTTTAATATATACATTTTACATGTATCAGGAACTAAGCCTGTTAAACGCAAGCCATAATGATTCTGAAAAATACAGCAAGGAGACTGAACATGTGGTTATTACAACACAGTATGACATCACACAAGTCCTGTTGTCCAAAACACAGGAATAAATAACTTCCAGCTTCACAGAAACAAATACTTTCTGCCTCATTACACACTGGATGATGTTTACATTATACAGGGGTCTATTATTACTAAATGTTTTGAGAGACTGTTCTTAAAACACATAATAGCTAACCTTCCCACCAGTATGCATACAGACCATATAGGTCCACAGAAGATGGTATTGCTACAGCCCTCCACACATTACTGACACACTCTCATAAGGGACATGTGTGAGAATGATTTTTATTGACTTCAGTCCTGCATTTAACACTCCCCAGTAGGCTGGTATCCAAACACCTTGACCTGGGTCTCAGTAGTTTGCTGTTTGCCAACAGACATTTACACTTGGCTCTCACCTCTACTCCAGTTTGTCCCTCAGTACTGGAGCACCCTGTGTGTAGAGTCCTCTGCTCTACACCCTTTACACATTTGACAGCATTCCCACACACCATTCAAACACCATCATAACATTTGCAGATGATTTGACTGTAGTGGGCCTGATCACAAACAGTGATGCAACAGTTTACAGAGGTGAAGTCTGCAAACTGACGGGATGGTGCACGGACAATAACCCACCTCTGAATTAAAACACAAAATACAAAAGAAATCATCGACTTCCAGTGAGACAAGTATGACCTCCCTCCACTGACTATCAAAGGGGAAGAAGTAGAGAGGTTCTCCTGCTTTAAGTTCTTTGGGACCTACATTTCAGAGGACCTCAAATGCCCAATCAACAGCAATGAACTGATTTTAAAAAAAGGCTCAACACGGCAAATCTCGTTGTACTGTTGATGTAATGACAATAACATTTTCTGATTCTGATTTATCCAGACTGAGGCGCTGTCATTTGTCAGAGATCAGCTGTGCTTCTCTGGCTTCAGCTTTGAAATCCAACCCCTCTCATCTGAGAGAGCTGGACCTGAGTAAAAATAAGCTGGAGGATTCAGGAGTGAAGATGCTGTGTGATTTTCTGGAGAGTCCACACTGTAGACTGGAGACTCTGAGGTCAGTTCTCTTTAAATAACAGAGGCTTAAAATTATTTCTCACACACAGATGACAATATACATCTTTTTTTGTAATATGTATCCTGTGCAGGCTTCAAAGGTGTGAGCTATCAGAGATTGGCTGTGCTTCTCTGGCCTCAGCTCTGAAGTCCAACCCCTCCCATCTGAGAGAGCTGAAGTTGAGTAACAACAACCTGCAGGATTCAGGAGTGAAGCTGCTGTCTGCTGGACTGGAGAGTGTACACCATAGACTGGAGACTCTGAGGTTTGTGGCGAATTGAAGTCAGTCCATGCTGATGAGCCCATTTGTTGTCTGTTTTTTTGTTATTGCAAAGTAATTATTCAGTGCAGTTTCTAGCGATGTGTATGTCTGTCTGACTGCCCACCACTTCCAGAATTAAATATCTCAGCAGCTGTTGGATGGATTGTTTTAAAATGTGTTTCAGACCTTTATGTTCCCCTCAGGATAAAGTTTTCATCTAGCTCCATCATCTGGTCAACATTAGGGATCGCCTGATATAGTTTTTTTCAGGACCTATCCGATTATTAGTAACCAGTTAGAGCAATGACTGATATGTGCAACCAATATACATTTGCTTTAAAAATTTTAATCTTGGTGTCAAAATTTAGAATAACACAAACGCCAACACAAAACCTTTTTTAAAATAACAGGATTAAAGTTAATTGTTGTGTTTAATCTTTATAAATAGTAAATTAGAGATTCATCCCAGAGATAGACTTGTTAACTATGAGTGATAAATTATCATAAACTGTGTTTTTACCTGCTGTGATTTATATTGTATTTATTTTATATTGTTAGGATTTTATTGATACATTTTGATACTATTTATTGGTTCTGTTCTTTAGATGTACTCTTATTGGTTTTTCATGACTAAATAATTGCCTTTGTTATTTAAAAAAAGAATAAATTCAGAACAGTAATCAAATTTAATATTTTATTATAACTAACTGTTTTCAGAGCAGCAACCAAAAATAAAGTTTACCGCAGCAAAGTCACTTTATTGAATCAGGATCTCAATGGAAACAAATGGAACATGTTAAATAAACTATATTCCTGTCATCAAAATACTGAGTGAAGTTTAAAAAGAAGACAGCAGTCCGGGACAGTCCTCCTCCTCCTCCTCCCTCTGCCGCTGTAGAAAGGAGCTGGTTTTTCTCAACAAGCACTGAGTTTACAAGGATTTGCTAAATCTTAAGGTACATAGCATCTCAGCTAAACAGGCTACAGACCGAGAGGTTGTTGTAGTTTGTTTATGACAAACTAGCTATTAGCCGAGCTATCGCATGTGCTTGTGTTAAACCAAAACACAGCTGCTTGTTGTACTGATACAGTATCAGCCTTTTACTGGTACTGCTGTTTTTGCTGCACTTACTTACAGTAAGGGCCGTAGTTATGGTCAACTTGTGTAATCTACACTGATCTGCCTCCGCTCATTTCGCTCCACTCGGTGTGAGCATGCGGAGCTCTGTTGAGAGAGGAGGGGAGACGCTGCAGCGTGGTGGCTGGCTCGTTCTATTGGCTACTTCCGCACTATATTCAGTGTTTTTAGGCTATTACTGGTGACTTGTAACCAATCAGCTAGTACTGTGGGTGGGACATTGTACTCACCACTCTGTGGGCTCGAGCAGGCCGAGAGAGGCGGCGGCATCACAGCCAAAGCAATTTTTTATTAATGAATTATATCGGCTATCTGTTTTTAAAATGACTGATGCAGATTATTGGAGTAATGCTGAATATCTGTGACCCCTAGTCAACATGAAAATGAGACCACCACTTTGGTTTATGACCAAATACCTGCAGAACTGAAGACATTCCAGTCAGCCTCAGCTGTACTCTGTGTTTAGATTTAGATGGCAGATTCATTTTCACTGTCTTCATAAAAGATAACTGCTGTATTTGTGTTTCCACAGGGTGGATGGCAGAGAAAACAAGGCCACACCTGACAGACATGAAGGACGTGAGTAAAAGCCCACAGGATCATCTTAAAGAAACATAAGCTGTTTAAAGCCAACTGGAAAATTGACCTCTGCATGTTTCATGGCTCTGGTTAATGCCAGTAACCACAGATCTTTGGCTTTGTTCTGCTCTGCATGTTGGGAAACATGATGTCCCTGTTATTCTTGTGTACATTTGATTGTATGGACTCAGGCTTAACTTGGTATCTTTGGACTTTTAAACATGACTGTGCTTGGTCGTCTACATGTTGGCCCTGGGAGAAAGACAGGGACACAACATGGGGTAACGACCTGCTCCAAAGGGCCCTGGCCAGCCTTGAACTGGTTACAGTGGTTACAGGTTTTTGAATGTTGGGTCACCAGGACGTCCAAAAGTGAGTTTGACGTCTGCTTCTGCTTCTCTCCATCCGATGTCTCTGATCACCACCAGATCCGTCTGAGGACGCCAGAGAGGATCAGCTGTGTCCTGATGATCCAGAGAGGTTGAAGCAGCAGCAGCTTCTGTGTGGAGAGGCTCTGAATACAAAGGTCACTTTTTCACTTGAACATTTTTATTTGTCTGGGGTTCCTTAGTTTTAGCGCCTCCAGAGTTTAATATTTCTTACCCTCTAAACTCCTCTCGCTCTCCTATCAGAAACTCCCTAAATTAATTTCCACCTCCTCGTCTATCAAACCTCCAGCTGCTGTCCCACAGAGCTCTGCAGGCTTCACTTGTGCAGGATCGTCCCCTGAATAATAATGATAACTGCTATAATAGTAACAACAACAGATAATCAAGTGACGTCTCTGACCGGCTCACTCAGTCAGAGCTTCACTGTGCTCAGATAACATCAGGCAAGCATCTCCCAGTTCTGTGTAGTACAGCACAGGTCTGCTGGATCTGTTAGAGCTGAAACACAGTACCCATCAGGCACTGCTCTACTCTCTAGTTTTAAATCACAAGTGATTGCTGAATCATAACCAGTCATGTGACCATTAACCACAAAGTGCCAAACATTTCTTTTTTTTATGATGTAATGTTTTAATTGGCTTTTAGTTCTGTATGATGCAGAGTTCCTGTCACCTGAACATAACTCTGAGAGTTGGGCGTCCAGTTTCTGCTCCCATCTCAACGTGTTCTGTAACTAATTTTGTACTGTTTTTCAATTTTAGGAGAAGTTAAGTTTCACACCTGACCTGCTGACTGACTCTGGAAAGACTTCATACAGGTAACCAAATAATAAAATGCAGAATTCTCCTTTCAGCACTTACATTAGAGTTTAGCTGATACAGCCCCAGTATACTTTATCAGAACTGCTGGTCTGATGGTCGAACAGCTTCAGAAACCCCTGGAGGCTCTGTAGGACAATCTCTTTGACGTTCTGAAAGCTTTAGAAGAGCTTTCACCATAGTAGTTTTTAGTGCCAGGACTAAACTTATAAAAGGTGGTGGGGATAGGGTCAGGTGAGCAGGTGGATGGTTTTAGTTAGATTACTTTGTTCCTGAGCATTTCTTTATCAACAGCATCAATATCATTCATTGCAGTCTAAGAGGGAAAGCGTCCAGAGACACGGGCTCACACATTCTGAATAAAATGGTTTAGATCCAATCTGATTTTTATTATTTTATCGAAAATAAAATTTCAAATTCTTCACATTTTGATGGTGATAAAAATTGTGGCTTTTTGGAGCTTGGTTAATTAGGCTGTCAGTAATTGAGAAAAAACATCCTGGCATTATTAGAATCAGCCTTGAGAAATGAGCTTGTTTTACATTTCTAATTGCATTGTTGAAGATAGTGAGGCAATTCTTTAAAAATGTGAGCTTGTCTAAATGTTTTCTTTAAATAATTATCCCCAGTACCCCATGCTGGTTTCTGTTTAGATTGAATCTTTTCATGTTTGTCTGTTGCTATAGCTTCACGGATAGTCCTAACTTAAAATTGTTGACTAAATCATCGCTATTAATGTGATTTATGACATTTTCATCAACTTCAGAGTTAATGTTTCCTAACAACCTGCTCAGAAACAGAGCAAGATTATAATAATTCAGAGGGGGGAAAGTAGTGTATTTAAATTTGCAATAAGTGTAATAGAACCAATATATGACCGTGGTTGTGAGTCGGCCCATTAACATGTTGAATAAAATCCATGGAGCTCAACACATTTAGCAACTGAGCAGCTTTAGAGTTGACTGCATTATCAAACTGTACATTAAAACCACTTTGGCACTCAAGTCGTCTAAAAAGATAGGACACAAGCAGCCCCTCGCCAGGGACGGATATGTCTTCTGCAATGACATTCCCCTCTCTGTCCTGCAGGTTCAGGTGTCCTGGTCCAGGTGTGTTCCAGTGTACTTTGACTGGACTGATGTTTGGTATGACTCAGGAGGCGGAGCTGCTGTACCGGACTGTCCAATGGGATGAGAGCCTCCTCCAATCAGCTGGCAAGACGGCTGCAGGGCTGCTGTTCAGTATCAAGTGTCCTGAGGATGCTGTCTGTCAGCTCCACCTGCCGCACTGTGAAACAAAGGACGGTGAGGACTTTATTGTGATTAGTGAGGGGAGAGTTTGTCCTTAAGGAAATAGGACCGTTATTTAATATCTTGTATGCTCAATGTTTTCCCTGATGGTGAAACTAGAGGAAAGGCAGAACGATCCTCTGGAACCAGGAATGACCACAGAACATTTCAGGGCATGTTGGACAGTTGTGCACAATGTTATTCTGACTGTACAGAGCTGAAAAAATTACTTGATTACTCCACCAACAGAAAATTAATTTGCAACAATTATGATGATTGATTAACGATGAGATACTTTCATATAAGCAATGAAGCTCAAAGTGTTTAAAAATAAAATAGATGCTCAGAGTTCTTCACATGACAATAGATCCTGGCAGCTGAATGGTTTCAGCTCCACATCTCTGTACTCGTTTCCTGTCTGACTCTTCAAAAAAGGTGAAAATACCCCTAAAATCTATTAAAAAAAATCTGTAAAGTTACTTTTGAAGCTGAGCAAATTATTGGTGCAAGAGGAAAGTTTACAAGCTTACCAAACTCAGGATTTATCATCTGATTCTATTTTTCTTTTGTTGCATGCTACCCATTTGTCTTTAAATTGCCCCAGCAGCCCCCCAGGCACAACAATTTATCCCCTCTAGGCAGGAGCACACTGACAGTTGTATTTAATAAATTGCTCAACTGGGAAACAGTTTTACTCTTTAATGACCAGACTTCCTGGAAATATAGTAAGATTAGGACTAACATGGTGCTGAGGTTGTTATCAGTAAACCAGAAGTTTACCAGCTCTGTGTTTTCACAGCTCTGCTGCCTGACGGTCTGCTGTCTGTCGTCCACATCACTGATGATGGAATGAGCATCCTCGAGCCGCTGGAGATTACAGACACTCATGTGGTTGTCAAAGTCCCTCACCTCTCTCTATTTGGCCTGGTCTGGACTTATGTTAAGAGGTTGTGGAGCAAACCAGTTTGCGGCCAAGTTCTGCTGTTCCTCGGACCACCGAACCCAAGAACACAGAGGCAGATCCTAAATGTGCTTCTGCTGCCGAACAACATCCATCTGGAGGAGGTAAAGCTTCATGTTACAGCTTTCAGACCAAATTTCTCTGATGTGGCTTAAAGCAAAAGTTCACAGTTTTGTCTTAAAACAACAGAAGGTGTCAATATGAACACTGAACAGCCTTTTCTTCCTGTAACTATTCCTCCTTTTCATACTGGACTAATGTCTTTTTTACATTTAGCCGACGTTTTTATCCAAAGAGACTTACAATTGCTATGTCAGAGGTCACACGCCTCTGGAGCAACTAGGGGTTAAGTGTCTTGCTCAGGGATACCTTGGTGTCAGTAGTTGCCATGGGATGCCTTTGGTGCCTTGGTGAGACCCGGGTCTCTCACACTAAAGGCATGTGCTGTACCATCGCCAGTACTCTCAATGTATGTGATACAAAATCCACAGTCCTCATTCCAAAGCTTTTTGTTTAGTTAATATAAAACTTCACCTAAATCTTTTAATCCACATTTAGGAGGATTGGTACAACAGAATATCACCACTGTGGGACAGGCACAATCAGGGCTCAGACTGTCCGCTATAGGCTGAGAGAGGCTGGACTGAGGGCTTGTAGGGTTGTTGTAGGGCAGGTCCATTACAGACATCACTGGCAACCGATGGGCACAAACCCACCTTCGCTGGACCAGACAGGACCGTCCTTTTCCAAGCTTTGTCCCCCAATCATAGATCTTCTGCTTAAGATGCATGAGATTTGAAGCTGCTTTGGAAGCAGTGTTCATTAAACTGGTGTTATTCGCAGCAGGAGCTTTTGATGCACATACTGTTGGATAGTATTGCCCCTCAAATGACTTGATATGCTCCTCCAACTTTTTTGTTTTCAGATCAGTACACTGTAAACAATGACTGTTTTATCTTACATTGGCCCCCTGATGTTAGCGCCCTTCTGAATCCTCTGCTTCACCTGGTTAGTTAAGGATGCGAGACTGACTGTTTTGGGTCACCAGCAACCGAGAAGGAGGAATCATGTCGTACTGGATTCCAGTGGAACAGAGTTTTTGTCTTGCAGCATCAAACTCTTTGTTTTTTGTGTACACCGATTCCCAGGTCCTTGTAGAATCTTACCGGACAGTTCTTGTTGAGAATCTGTCCTTATGTCCTGGCAGTTCTGGTCACAGACATTTTATTCCTGTAATTTAGGAATTGCTATCCTCTCCTGAAAATATTTGCATCTCTGCCCGGTCAACTTGCTTGAAACAATCAAACACACAGTATCTCACAAAAGTGAGTACATTTTAGTAAATATTTGTATGTATCTTTTGTGACAACACTGAAGAAATTACTCTTTGCTCTCTACTTTACACTGTTATACAAGCTGCACGCTCACTACTTTACACTGTTATACAAGCTGCACGCTCACTACTTTACACTGTTATACAAGCTGTACGCTCACTACTTTACACTGTTATACAAGCTGCACGCTCACTACTTTACACTGTTATACAAGCTGCACGCTCACTACTTTACACTGTTATACAAGCTGCACGCTCACTACTTTACACTGTTATACAAGCTGTACGCTCACTACTTTACACTGTTATACAAGCTGCACGCTCACTACTTTACACTGTTATACAAGCTGTACGCTCACTACTTTACACTGTTATACAAGCTGTACGCTCACTACTTTACACTGTTATACAAGCTGCACGCTCACTACTTTACACTGTTATACAAGCTGTACGTTCACTACTTTACACTGTTATACAAGCTGTACGCTCACTGCTTTACACTGTTATACAAGCTGTACGCTCACTACTTTACACTGTTATACAAGCTCACTACTTTACACTGTTATACAAGCTCACTACTTTACACTGTTATACAAGCTGTACGCTCACTACTTTACACTGTTATATAAGCTCACTACTTTACACTGTTATACAAGCTGCACGCTCACTACTTTACACTGTTATACAAGCTCACTACTTTACACTGTTATACAAGCTGCACGCTCACTACTTTACACTGTTATACAATCTGCACGCTCACTACTTTACACTGTTATACAAGCTGCACGCTCACTACTTTACACTGTTATACAATCTGTACGCTCACTACTTTACACTGTTATACAATCTGTACGCTCACTACTTTACACTGTTATACAAGCTGCACGCTCACTACTTTACACTGTTATACAAGCTGTACGCTCACTACTTTACACTGTTATACAAGCTGAACGCTCACTACTTTACACTGTTATACAAGCTGTACACTCACTACTTTACACTGTTATACAATCTGTACGCTCACTACTTTACACTGTTATACAAGCTGCACGCTCACTACTTTACACTGTTATACAAGCTGCACGCTCACTACTTTACACTGTTATACAAGCTGTACGCTCACTACTTTACACTGTTATACAAGCTCACTACTTTACACTGTTATACAAGCTCACTACTTTACACTGTTATACAAGCTGTACGCTCACTACTTTACACTGTTATACAATCTGTACGCTCACTACTTTACACTGTTATACAAGCTCACTACTTTACACTGTTATACAAGCTGTACGCTCACTACTTTACACTGTTATATAAGCTCACTACTTTACACTGTTATACAAGCTGCACGCTCACTACTTTACACTGTTATACAAGCTCACTACTTTACACTGTTATACAAGCTGCACGCTCACTACTTTACACTGTTATACAAGCTGTACGCTCACTACTTTACACTGTTATACAATCTGTACGCTCACTACTTTACACTGTTATACAAGCTGCACGCTCACTACTTTACACTGTTATACAAGCTGCACGCTCACTACTTTACACTGTTATACAAGCTGCACGCTCACTACTTTACACTGTTATACAAGCTGCACGCTCACTACTTTACACTGTTATACAAGCTGCACGCTCACTACTTTACACTGTTATACAAGCTGTACGCTCACTACTTTACACTGTTATACAAGCTCACTACTTTACACTGTTATACAAGTGTCATTTCTTCAGGGTTGTCACATAAGAAGATTTAATCACATTTACAAAAATGTGAGGGGTGTAGTCATTTTTGTGAGATACTGTATTTTCTCACGTTGCTAAGAAAATGTCTTTCAGTTTGGAAAAACAACTCGGATCAAATTTGTGACAGCAGCTGATATCATTTCTAAGCCGTCGTACAACTCTTCCCAATCAGTGGGCTCACTTCCTCTTTTTCTCTGCCACGATCTCTTGCTTGCTAGCATTAGCTTCACTGTCTTCACTGTCCATCTACTGCAGCTGAACAGGGAAACATAAAGAGGGAATTTTATACTAACATTGGAAGATTTTTCTTTATACAAAAACAAGGATTGAAGATGAACCCTCTAATTTAAATGTTAACATGTTCTGTTGTCTCTTCAGGTCAGCAAACAACAGCAGCCCTGTAAGAACATAAAGACTGCTTCTAAATGCAAACTCATCAAAGATGAAAGTTACACTCTTCTCTGTCCTCAGGCCATCAAAATTCAGCCTACGGTAAGTATGAAAATCTTTTCTAATACGATTCATCGAACTGCTGTTGGTTACCTTTGGTTTACTTTGGATGCTATGGAAGTTCTGACACTTTGGTTTTCAGAGAGCAGATTTTGACCTGGAATTTGGACCAAATTACCATCCAACATTTGAGATCCGCCTGCCGACAAACACAGAAGAAGCGACTTTAACAGTCCGAGACCAGAGACAGACAGAGGTCTGGAAGCGTGAAGTTGATCTAACAGGTGAAGTCTTTATCCATTTTCAGCATCACTCCACCTGATAGTACAGCAGGATAGATAACATTTACTGATTGATCCATGGTGCCTTTATTCTTACTCTGCCTCAGATCGTTCTTCAGTCTGTCCACTTTTTAAACCAGTTTTGGAGGATAGTATTGGCCATGGAGCTCCAGGACCAGTTCGTATAAAACACTGTAGCTACAGTGTGTTGGTGTCTCTGGTAGTGAATTATTGGATGAATCTGCAGCTTCCCAGCTTTACAGAGCTCCTTGTTTTTACTGTCAACTTGTTTATGCCGAATCAGCTGGATTTTGGTGTTTGGACAGTCGTTGACTTTATTTAGAAAACCAACCTGAGTGGGGACATATATGTACAGGATGGTTGCTATGGACACTTTGTGTCTAGGTGTTTGAATATTCTAAACAGAAACAATTAACTTTCACTGCATCAACAATAAAATCTATCAAAGTAACTACTGTTGTATTTCTACACTGATAAACATATTCAACGAAATGCAAATACTTATTTCTTCAATATCTGAATCTCTCACACACCCAGTTAGCCCAAACAACTCCATAAATGAGCTTTTCTTCCTTGATGGCAGCTTGAACAGCACTTTCTTGTTGTCACCTGACTGAAAAGCACTTGGCTCTGGATAGAGACCTCACCTCACGGTTCATCCAGGCCACATCAGCAAAGTTGCTAATGTATGATGTCACTTTTTTTAATAAGCGGTTGATGATGGATGGTCATTAGCCTTATGTCCAAGCTGAGTTAGCTTAGTTAGCTTAGCCCCGGTTCTCCCACACTTCCTTTTCCGGTTTCGGCCGCTGCATCCGCACATGGATTATTTTTTCTGAAAGGAGACCACAGGAAGTGATTTACAGAGCAGAAATTTTATTTCAATTGAACTTTAAAATGGGATTTCCAAAAGATCTGTGTTTAAAGATGATGGTGATTAAACAAAAGTATTTTTCCTGTTTATCTTCAAGATTCAAGAAGAGAAACTCCACAGAGCAGGGTCCCGGCAGAGGACAGGGTCCCAGCAGAGGAGAGGGTCCCGGCAGAGGAGAGGGTCCCAGCAGAGGACAGGGTCCCAGCAGGGGACAGGGTCCCAGGAGAAGAGAGGGTCCCAGCAGGGGACAGGGTCCCGGCAGGGGACAGGGTCCCGGCAGGGGACAGAGTCTCAGCAGGGGACAGGATCCCAGCAGAAGAGAGGGTGCCAGCAGAGGACAGGGTCCCAACAGGGGACAGGGTCCCAGCAGAAGAGAGGGTCCCAGCAGGGGACAGGATCCCAGCAGAAGAGAGGGTCCCGGCAGGGGACAGGATCCCGGCAGGGGACAGGGTCCCAGCAGAGAAGAGACTGCTCTTAGTTCGGACAGAGTTTCTGAACAGAGTCTCTGAACCTGTTCTGAACCAGCTTCTGGATAAACTCCTTGAGCATCATGTTATAAACGATGAAGAAATCCAGTCAGTCAGAACAAAAGTCAGAGCAGAAAAAGCCCGAGACGTGATCGACACAGCTCGAAGAAAGGGACCTGAAGCCAGTTCAGTCCTGATCGCTGCTCTCTGTCAGGTGGATCTATGCCTTTCCAGAGTGCTGAACTTCAGATGAAGCGAAAGAAAGAATCTGTGATGATGAACCAGCTGTTTTACAGTCTCAGGTTATTTATTGTAATCTTTGAATCAGGAGTTGTGCTGTGTTTTCAATAAGTGACTGTGAAAGCATCACATGTGATGGAGCTAAGCTTGGACTACACTGGATCATCTCCTCAAACATGAACTACAAGACACAGATGCTGATTCTGTTTTTAACAAATGTCACAAAACAGAATCATTTTTTGACAAATGTGTGAAAGAAAATAATGTGTTACAACTTTGGAGATCACTGCTACTTTTTAGTGATATGTCTCAATGGGATTTGATTCCACGTAGTATCTTTATGGTTTCACATAGTAGCAATTGTAAGTCTCTCTGGATAAATGTAAAATGTGATGTTGTATATTTACAACAAAAAACAAAGTCAGGAAAGGGCCAATTGAATCAGAAGGTTATTAAGAATTAAAACTCAGCATCTTTCCACTGAGTTTAAAACCACGACCTGAAGGGGACCCGTGTTCAGCTGAGAGCTGACAGAAACATCTGCAGATGACTTTATTCTGGAGGAGAGGACAGGACAAAAGCACTGGAATAATTTGTTTGTCTTTCTTTGTAGGAAGATAAGCTTTCCTGTATTTTATATATGGTAATTATTTCCCAGCAGGATTTTTGTCTGATAGACAAGCGAAACTAATGGAATTCAGTTAATATGAACACTGATCTAGTTTAAAGTCTGTACCTGAACAGGCCTCCTTTAAACAGGCGTCTGGTTTGTTTTATTGTGAAAGCAGTGAGCGGAAGTCACGTGGTTAGTGTTGCCTGACTTGATGGTGTTTCTGAGAGGAAACTTGCTGCAGACAGACCTTTTTATCTTCAGTCTGTGAGACACACGGAGGTTTCTGAGTGTCTCTGCAGCTGCGGTCAGAACTCCGCCTGAAATCCTGCAGATTTAACCACAGCGGCTAACTGAGCTGCAGCCCGGTGGGACGTTCTGATTGGACAAAGACGTGAACAGATTACAGAAAATATAATATCTGAGAAACAATACGGCTGCTCTTTATTGCTGTGTGTATGGGCTGGTGTTGCTATCTTTGGGAGGACCAGATTCAAAGTATCGTAGTGAGCACGGAGTGTGGGTTTTAAGGTTCAGGTTAGATCCAGGTTTAGGATTTGGTGCTAGGGAACCTATAATGTCAATGAGTCATAACAAGTATACGTGTGTGTTTGTTGGGTTAGTTAAAACATTTCAATATTTTTCAGGAAATTGTGTTGAATTTCAATAAAACGAGTTTATATAGTTACAATCCTGATTTTCATGAAATTAAACTCAAATTATTTCTGCAGTAGCTGTTCAATAGATTTACATTCACTAATTACTTCTGTATAGTAGTTTGGAAACAGTTGCTCCTTCCGGGTTTTTTTAACCCGGAGACGCTGACCTGCAGACACATCTCAGGGCCTGTTTTCTGCTTTAAAAAAGTTTGAATCTTTACTTTCACGGCGGGTCCAAACTTTTAATGTTATTCTGATTAAAGGAACCGACGTTCTGTTGTTCTTCTAGAGAAACACGTTTTCGGTGTGTCAGACAGGAGAACCGGTACAAGAAGACACAAACAACATTTTTGAAAAGCTTTGTTCCTCCAGAGGGAGTTCAGTTTGAACAGGAAGGACTCTGCTGGTACATCTCAGCTGACACCACAGGGGGGCGCCACAGAGTCAGAAGACAGGAGGAAGTGGACAAAAGAGGAAGCGCTCAGTCAGTCAGCTCAGAGAGCAGAAAGAAGAAAAGAGGTGAGTGTTCATCAACATTATTATCAGTTCACTGTCAGAACAACAGACAAACAACAGAAAGATAAAGAGTAACAGTTAATCCAGCATGAGCTGCTGGCTGACAGTCACCTGGATCAGCTTCACAGCCCGACTTTAGAGAGTGGAAGAAGAGTTTTCACTGATCATGAACCTTCCTCTGATGCTGTGCCTGCTTCCCTCAGACTGAGGAGGACAGCTGTCCGTCCATGAAGGGGGACGGGTCCACAGAAAGGCCTCCAGACGGACACAAAGTGGGTGACAGTTTCTAACCTGAAACATAGAAACAGCAGCATAAAGACATCTCCGCTCTACACCCACAGGTTTATCTGTTCCACCTGCACCAGTGTTCAGTGAAGTCCTGATACATGTGGGAATAAATGAGGACCGGGGCGGTTCAGTACCTTTTGGAGGGTAGAAGCCGGATCTCGGTGTGTTGGGGGTTTCAAAGCCTAAATATTAATTTATATAGATGTTTAATTTGTGCTTCACCTTCAGTGCTATTTAAGACGGCTGCCAGGTATAAAGGAATAGGTCCAATCAGTTTGGTTATGTGGGATGAAGTTCAGGAGTTTTTCCAACCACAGTGAAACTTCAGGGGCTTCATCACCAACCCGCCTTTGAAGAATACTCAACCTGGCAGCGTACCAACAAATTCTCAATATATCCTTATACTGGGCAGCCGGCTTTGCTGCGTCATCTAATACTACAACACAAAGACTTTGGCTTAATGCTGACTTGCGAGAGAGGAAATCATCAATTTTATTTATTATTCCAAAATTCTTCAATATTTGGGCATTCCCAAAAAGCATGAAAATATGTTTTCACCAAATTTTACAGCTTGGACAGATTGTATCACATTCAGCTTATGGATGGATCTTATAACCTGGGAATTATCTTAAACTTTATGACACAGCAACATATTCTTTTTGTATTTAAGAGAATTGTATCCCATTCATCTTTACTTATTCCCCCTATCTTCTCCCTCGTGTACAGAGACTTATTGGGCCCAGCTATTTGTAAAAGGAAGCCAATTTCAATCTTCCTTCTGTAGTTGGGAACAGACCGAACGTAACTCTTCACTCTCAAAGCGCGTTCTAAACCATACTTTCCTCAGCTCCCAGTTCCCGCCATCTCTTAAATCTGGTGTCCAAGCAAGAGGGAGGGAAGTGAGGGTTGTTTACCACAGGTGCAAGCAGGGATGGGGATCCTGTCCTATAATAATTCTTTTTAATTTATACCACGTATCTAAAATGTTTTCCAAGTTGTTTTGTCTCAGAGATGGTTCTCTTTAAATGGAAAGTCAGATGGTAGTATTTGCATTTCTCTTCAGTGTAACAGGTGAGCAGCACAATGATGGAGCTTTATTTCCTGGTATTCACACAAAAGCAATCTAGTGTATGCGGTCCAATGCAGTGAGGAATGCACAGACCTGTATATTGGGGAGACTAAACAACCACGACACAAACGCATGGCTCAACACAGAAGGGCCAACTCCTCAGGTCAAGACTCTGCAGTCTACTTACATCTGAAGGACAGAGGACACTCGTTTGAGGACCACCAGGTGCACATTTTAGACCTTTGGCCTCAGGTGAAGATACCAACGATGGTCGTTCAGTCTCGGCCTCAGGTGAAGATACCAACGATGGTCGTTCAGTCTCGGCCTCAGGTGAAGATACCAACGATGGCCGTTCAGTCTCGGCCTCAGGTGGCTCTAACGACCATGACGTCTTCCAGTATCTTCAACAAGTAACTCTGACCTGGATGACTGAGATCCTTCACAGACATTAAAGTGCCAAAAATACGTTTTGTTATTAAAGAAACTATAAACAACATAACTATAACAGAACATGGAATGTGATAATCAGTGGCATCAGTGTTGAGTGGAATGTATGGATGAGCGAGAAATCGATGAAGGTAACTGTCGGCAACTCAGGACAGCAAAAAACCCAAACCAGGAGATGTGGTGACTTGATGAATGAAATAAGAAACAAGCTTTAATTTATTTCTGTTTGGCTGTTGTTTCTTTGCTTAGTCTGGATTTGTGTGTTGCCAATTTGAATTTTTAATGGCGCTACTAAATGGTGAGTATTTAGTGAGCAGTGATTTGTCCCAGGCTGTACCGGGAGGACATTACCACATTAGGCGACATCAGGGAGTACCGCCATGGCGCCTTTAGACACTTCATCTTTGGCAAGATGGAGCTTTGGGCCAGGGAAACCCACTTGTCATCCCCAGGTGTTGTGTTTGGAGGATCAGGGAGAAGTTCGCTCATCCTCAAGGACACTACGCAGGTCTACACAGTAACCTGCCTCAGCATCATCAAGGCATCAAACAAATGTACGTAGTTTACATTTTATTTATTATTAGATTTCTATTCACTTTATCATATTTCTCCCCTCTTTATTTACATTTTAGGTATGTTTTCTAATTATAAGTTGTGATATAGTTCTATGGTATTTATGAAAAAATAAAAGTACATGGTCTTTTATTTTCATTATATATATTTGAACATGTTCATGCCATAACATTTCCTATACCACTTTTAGTTATTTATATTTACATAATAGGGGACAGCTGTAGCCTTACTTATCATTACTGTTCAAAACTGTAAACTTTAGGCTACTTACTGAAAATAATTTGTGCTGGTCACAGTGTCGCTAAGTCACAGAAGTAAAATGAAGCTTGTACAAAATGAAAAAACCCTTGAGGTAGGTATGAACAGAATTTAATGTTAATACATTTCTGTTTGAAGAGTAAAAACTATGACTTTGTCAGTGAACTGAAGTTCTTTCCCTCGTGATCCTGCCCGACAAGTACCAGGACACATGCAAGGTGATCTCCTGTGGGGATCCTTCCACATCAGATGCTGGTTGGAATAACGGTCCTGTTGAAGACAGTGCCATCAAACATAGTTACAGACTATATTGTAATGTAAATATTCAGTGAAATGTAATATGGTGCAAAATAGGCAACAAATTTGTGTAACTTACCAAGACCTCTCCTGACTTGTCTCTCTGCAACGAGTCTGAAGCTGTCTGGGGTCATCCGGTCGAAGTCTCCTCCTTCTAGGCATCCCCACTCCACCTGTTAGTCTGTTCTTCACTAGCAACTTGGAAATTTCCAGATTTCAAGGTGTATACGCTGTATCTTCTAGCGTTGTTCTTATACAGTCTTTTGAAACTGAACTTACAGAAACTGCAACAACTTAATATCAGTTAGTGCAATGCAGTTAGACAATCAATTGCATATAAAAGACTGGCTGAATATTTTACTATGAATGGGAATGTTATACAAGTGTAAAACGTACATCTCTTTGCTGTCCAACGTTTTCATTGTTGGTCGGTTCCAGTGGCAGCAAGCAGAACTCTTGCCTCATAAACTGCGGGGCTGTACGGTTCACAGCTCATGGAAATCAAAACTCCAGTATCTCAAAATGTATAAACATTTTAGAATAAATACTTTTCTGTATTGTAAATTAAACAGAAATGTCAGCTGGAGAAGAGCTCTCTAATCAGCTAATTAACTCAGAACACCTGCAAAGGTTTCTGATCTCAGTCTGGTTCTGGTGCTCACAATTAACTTTTCCACATATTCAAATTTTTTTAGATGCTCCTCTAAAAGATGCTTCAGTATTTTAATGTTGACAGCACTATTATGTCACATCCGTGGGAGAAAATGGAACAAGGGAGACCGTCTTTAATTGTTTTTGTGTTGTCCTTTTAAGACAGACAACTTTATATCTGCTGTCAAATGTCCAGTAGTCAAGTTGTCCTAGTAACGTTACAGTTTAGGCTTTGAGTAGCAGATGTGGAGGCATCAACTAAAATCTTGTGACAAATATAAAAAGCACCTTTCTCTCTCAAGTGTCCTATTCCAGACAATAATCACACAGCCTGCAGACAGCAGCAACGTACTCAAAATAGCGGTGTGGGGAATAATTAACGTGATCCGTTAATACTTTAAGTTCTTCAATCTTCTTTCTGACACACATTTATTTAAGCTAGAAACTACATTCAAGCCTCAACATGCTGATTTGCCTGTGAGGGAGACTCCGTGATGATCTATATCAGCTGACACTCCGCGGCTGCGCCACTGAGCTAGAGAAGGAATCAGGAAGTGCAGCGAGCAGAAAGGATGAAAAGAGGTGAGTGTTCGGGGCTCTGAGACAAGGTGCTCGAGATGACTGCGGCCGACTTGACAGTCAAACATGACCTGCAGCTGTGACAGTTTAACTGGTGGCTAGATTAACTGGTGATAGTCCCAGCAGCAGGCGTGGCTTCAGGATCCACTGAGTGCAAACCAGGAAATAAGTTCCGATAACTTTGTTTATCTACTAATGAATGAATGTAGTTTGTAGGAAACATCTTTAGCTGCTCGATGATTCACAGGGACCTCTCACTGAAGTCCAGCCAGCCTCCACTTCGAAAACGACAGTCCAGCCCGCTCTCTCGCGGTTTTGCGATGTGTGTTTCTTCTAGGCATTACGGTAACATCGTGTCGCAGCAGATTTCAAAATAAAAGTAAATTATGCTGAACATAATGCAATCGGTGTGGCAGAAACCATTGAATAAATGAATAAATAACTAAATGCTGAGGACAACACAAGTATCTAAAGAATATATTACATTTTCACAGATGCTCACTAAATTTAGACTGAGGCTCATTTCACTTCGCCGTGATAACAGATCACCTCAGAGTGACCCTCAGTCAAGGTCTGAGATATTTGATGTAGGTTTCAACAGGGGCGTTTCCAGGCTCTTGAGACATTGGGGGCTTAGCCCAACCCAGAAATCTTTCATGTTTTCACCTGTTTGGGTTTTTTTGCACCAATTGATTGAGGAAATGTCTTACGTGACAATTCAAAATAAAAAAGATTTAGTGTAATATAATGCAGTAAGGTTGTCGGATATGTTTCTCCTGTAGATCGAATTTTCTCATTTAATTTAATCCCAGCTGAGTCTACATACATGCAGGCATGCTTGAAGTAGCCTTAAGCGGTTTTAAATGTGCATATGGCACCTTTTCACCTCATTGATAAATTAGCTTAATTAATTTGAGTTCAGTTAAATTAAAGTTTTATTTTGAGCATTAAACACTTAATTTCTGGACCAAGTTATGGTAAAAATGTTTTCATATTTATAAAGGGAAGGACAAAATTTAGGTGGCAGGTGACAATTCAGAATATAAAATGCAGTAATCAGCAGCTTATTCTTTTTTTAGCTTAAGTTCTTTTTTTAAATATAGAGATTTCTTCTATATTTACACTGCATTCAGGCTTACTGTGCAAATAAACCTTTCTCATAGCATTTGTATTTAATTACTATGCAGGGTAGGATACTGCAGCTGATGTTGAAGCTACTGCAGCCTGGGTAACAAACATATCGGTTTTTTTTTTTTGGCCCACAAGAAACAGCTCGAGCAGAGGAGGAGGGAGTGGGGCTTGTAAGACATGTGATTGGGCCAGCCCAATGTCTGTATAGGTCTATGCTTGTGTGCCCAACAGTTATATAAATACATAATTACATTGCAAACTTCAAACAAAATGTAGCAATATTATTGGGAGGAGCTTCCGCTCTTTGAAGACCTTCAACACAGGCTGCTGCATGAAGATTATTGCATATTAACATGGAAAACATTTTGTTGCTGTTGTTCGGGGCTACAGTCAAAGCATCTGGGGCTAAAGCCCCGGAAAAATGACCAGGCGACGCCGTTGGGTTGTAAAACTTACAGCCCTGGAAAATGTCTAATATTTTCACTGAATTCAGATTTATGTAAAAAGAAAAGTTGTTTCCACTGGCTCATTTCACTTCACAGTGTGACCCTCAGTCAAGATCAAACATCCAGACTGTTTCACTTACAGGCTGCATGACACACTGTTCTTAGATAAAAAAACGATACAAATGTTGACTGGCATGGCAAAGATAGCGGAATATAAACGGGAACGAAGCTGTATCGCAGGTTAATCTGGGCACTCTGCGTGTTTCCTTACGTAAGTAAGAACACTTTCAAACTCACCGTGGCACAAATCAGACCGACAACATGAACATTTGGACGGTTTATTGATGTTTTGCAGTGTTTTGAACAGCGACACAGTCTCCTCCATGATCACGCTCACAGTCCTCGCTTTGAACTAATCTGCAGGTGGGAGCTCCCTGTGAATCATCGTGCAGCTACGATGCAGCCTGCAAACTCCACTCAGAAGCAGATATCTACATGACCGTACATTATGTATGTACAAAGTTATTGGAACGTATTTCCTGATTTGCAGTCAGTGGATCCTGAAGCCACGCCTGCGACACACCTGGGACTGTCACCAGTTAATCTAGCCACCACTTGCACTGTTACACCGGCGACTGCAGGCGCAGGGTATGAAAACCGCTGCGTAAAGACACATTCTGACTGCGAGCTAGTACAATGACTGATCAGAGGAAAGACAAATGTTGCAGACCTCTCCTCTGCAGTTGTTGTTTGCAGGAGTTCTTCTGTTGACGCTTTTAGATTTTAGTTTCCTCTCAGAGACGAGCTGCTGGCTGACGGTCACCTGGATCAGGTTCAGAGCAGAAACACACAGCAGGGAGAGGAAGAAGTGTTTTCACTGATCATTGACCTTCCTCTGATGCTGTCCCTGCTCACTCAGACTGACTGAAGATGAGTGATGTGGAGGAAAAGAAGGACAGCCGTCGTCCATGAAGGGGGACGGGTCCACAGAAAGGCCTCCAGACTGCAGTGATGAACCCTCAGACACAAAGTAAGAGACTGATCTCAGTGAATGTACCTGATGAAACCTGAACCACTAAAGGATCCGGACTCTACAGAGTGACGGTCGACAAACATCCAGTTTCAGAACAAACACAATAACTTGCGTTGTTTGTCATGTTGGTATTACAGAGGGAACACAGGAAGGAAAGTCAGAGACACAAACGACATGATGTAGCTGCAGGCGTCTCGTGTCTTTGTGATGCAGTCCGTTGATCTTCTCCTACATGCATCTAAACTGCAGTGAAACAAACGTTAACCTGTGCACTTTTGGCTCACACTTCTCCAGCCCTACAACCAGACAGTGTTTCCCATAAATTGATTTATTGGTGGTGGAGAAAGTTAACGGACTTATACAGGGAGAGAGAGACAGAAAGAGGTGGGGAACGCCGATGGGTCCGCAGCAGAGGTGTGTCAACACTTATCCCGATCGCGATTGTTAGGGTTAGTAAAGCCAAATAACGCTTCGTGGAACAGGCCTCTGAAGGAAACTCGGCAAGATAAACAACATAGTGATGTAAGTTCAGTCATCTCAGTCTTTATACAGATGTGTCTTTGTGATGATTCAGAAGCAATCCGTTGATCTTCTCGTACAGCTGTCTGCACTGCAGGTAAACCCCAGTGAAATAAACATGTGCATGTGCATTATTGGCTCACACTTATCAAGTCTTATAACGAGACATCTTTTGATAGACTTTACTGTGGTTGTTTATTTGCCCTGCTGCAAAGTGGGACAATAAGGATCCTTCTGCAGCCAACTCAAACACAGAACTTTGTTTGATCCACTTTCTTCTCAGCTTTAAGGCGCATTCAGGTAGCGAACGTTTAGTTCTATCTGATCCTGAGACCTGAACACCACAGGCTGCTGATCTTCCTGTATAACAGTTTAATCTCATCACACATCCAAGGTGAACTGCTGGACAACGCAACTCATTCTGACTTGAATTATTTGTTTCCACAGGCAGAGAGCAGAGTCTCCAGCATCCAGCTGTCTGTCTATGAAGAGTGACTGGTCCAAAGAGAGGCCTCCAAACTTCAGTAAAGAACGTGAACCCTCAGACACAAAGTAAGAGCTTTTCAACAATCCATAATATATTCAACATCTTTGTACACAAACCTGTGGGTGTGTCTATTACAAGTGCACCAGTGTTCAATGGGCGGGGTGTTAGATGTTTAAAATCTGTGTTTAATGTGGTGGAAGCCGGTACAGTGCAGTCAGCAAGTAAAATAAATGAAATACAGTGACAACTTCTGATAGCAAGATGGCGGGGCAAGCAGTCGCAGCCACCCCTACCGCTACCACTTATGATCATCAGACCCTGCAGGGCTTTGGTAACTGGAATAGTTCCACACCAGTTGAGACTACCAGAAACACACCACTACCGGCTATACTGACAGAGGAGCGGTGTTCTCTCTGGCTCCGATGAGGCCACAACACTGCGGCACTGCCCGACACAGCTGCCGGGGTGAGGAGGCTGCTGCACCGCAGGAAGTGCATGCATAAGCGGTGGTGATGGCGCGTAGATAAGATGTTTTCCTTTGGTTTGGGAGACCTGGGTTCAATTCCCACTGTGAGACATCCACCATTGTGTCCCTGAGCAAGACACTTAACCCCTAGTTGCTCCAGAGGTGTGCGACCTTGATGTATAGCAATTGTAAGTTGCTTTGGATAAAAGCGTCAGCTAAATGAATAAATGTAAATAAATGCATAAGCGTGGTAAGCGGGCTGGAGTCTGTGCTAGGCAAAAGTTTAAAAGAGACCTATTATAATGCTTTTCCAGGCCCATATTGTAGTTCTGTGACTCCTGCATGGCAGCTTTGCATGATTCAAAGTTCAAAAAAATAATTTTCTATCTTATACTGATTCTTCATGTAGGCCTTCATTTCAGCCTCTGTCTGAAACAAGCTGTAGATGCTCCTGTCTCTTTAAGGCCCTCCTCTCAAAGCCCACTGTCTTCTGATTGGCCAAAACCTGAAGCATGTTACCAGGCTGTTGTTGTTGCTGGGCGGAACAGGCAGACTGAGCATAGCTGTGTGGAGCCAATGACTATATGGAACAGCGGCTCCGTGTAGCTCCATATGTCGTAGAACGACAGAGCCGTTGGTTTGATCACAGTACGAAGGCGGTGTTCATTTTGCAGCTGGAATATAGCCCCTTTTCCTTGCACGCCTTTGTCTGGTTTTCCATTGTGGAAAAGTTGGACCTGTACCTGCTTCCAGGTACTTTTTTTTTGTATATACTCCGTCGAGGTTCCAAGCGAGCTGAGGCGATATTAAAATGTGACGTGTAAACACGGCAGACTGCTGATTGGTCAGAGAGAATCGTCGCTATTCACTGCATCATCATTGCTGCACCAGACAGAGGCCAGCAACAGAAAGAAATATTTTACAGTTTTCGTATGTTATTTCATTACTAAATCCACTTCTGAGAAGTTTTGAGGTGAGAAATCAGCTGTGTGGATTTACAATATTGACAGTTTTACTAAAAGTGATGGCGGAACAAAAATGTGCTTGAATATTTCCGGAGTTGAGGAGCTCCGCAAGTGGCGGCGGGGGAAGCCTGCTGCGACCCGCGGGAGGAGCATGTGAGGCCAGCCGCCCGCTCACAGAGCCCTCTGCTCCGCCGTCACACAGACCGCTGCAGCAACAACGGCAGAGGAAAACACTGGTCAGCTGGATGTCCTGAAGTGGAGGGAAACACAAGAGGAGCTTGTCTGTGAAGATTCTCAGTCATCCAGACCATAGGACCACAACGAAGGTTAAAATCAAGGGCAGCTGGACTTGGTTGAAGCTACTGGAAGACGTTTCGTCCCTCATCCAAAGGACTTCTTCAGTTCTGACTGACTGGCAGGGAAACTCAGCTATTTAACCTCAGTGGGGTCGTTGGCCCGGGTCATCGATACCGCTGGTTCGTTAGTGTTCCTTGTTGCTGTGACGACAGTCGTTACAGTCGTTAAGACTACCTGTGGCCAAGACTGAACGACCATCGTTGGTATCTTCACCTGAGGCCAAGACTGAACGACCATCGTTGGTATCTTCACCTGAGGCCAATAGGTTACGTTTGTTGAGTTTCCTGGGAAGTGATGAAAGGACAGCATTGTAAGTGGGGGATAAGTGGTGGCGTAGACCCCCTCCTCTGTTCAATGACGGCTTCTCCACCCTGGTGTAGATGCTTCCTTGACACCTCTTTCAAACCATCCATCTTCTCTGTCTAAAATGTGCACCTGGTGGTCCTCAAACGAGTGTCCTCTGTCCTTCAGATGTAAGTAGACTGCAGAGTCTTGACCTGAGGAGTTGGCCCTTCTGTGTTGAGCCATGCGTTTGTGTGTGTGTGGTGGGAATTGAACAGTAGGTATTGGTCTGTGTGTGTGGGTTTTCTGTAAACACCAATCTGCAGGCTCCTGTCCTCTTCAATGTGTACAGCGCAGTCCAGGAAGGCCAAACTGTTGTTGTGGACATCTTCTCGTGTGAACTTGATGTTACTGTCCACAGAGTTGATGTGTTCTGTGAAGGCTTGCACTTCCTGGCTTTTGATTTTGACCCAGGTGTCGTCCACATATCTGTACCAGTGGCTCGGTGCTGTTCCTCTGAAGGAGTTGAGGGCTTTGTTCTCCACTTCTTCCATGTCGATGTTTGCCACAATCGGGGATACCGGTGAGCCCATGGCACAGCCATGCTTCTGTCTGTAGAATCCACCGTTGTACGGAAGTAGGTGGTGTTTAGACAGAGGTCGAGTAATTTGCAGATCTGGTCAGGGCTGAGGCTAGTTCTGTTGTCCAGGGTGTTGTCTTGTGTTAGCCGTTTCCTTACGGTTTCTACTGCCTCTATGGTGGGGATGCAGGTGAACAAAGAAGTCACGTCATAGGATACCATGGTTCATCTGGATCCAGTTTTAGTCCTCGAACTTTGTTTACAAAGTCAATAGAGTTTTGGACGTGGTGAGGCGTGTTTCCCACCAATGGAGCTAAGATGGTGGAAATGTGTTTGGCAATGTTGTAGGTGACCGAGTTAATGCTGCTGATAATCGGCCTGAGTGGGGCTCCTTCTTTGTGTATCTTGGGTAGTCCATAAATGCATGGAATGGCTTCTCCAGGATACAAACGGTAATATTGTTCACGGGTGATGGTGTTGTCCTTCTGTGACTGTTGTAGACATTCTATGGCCTTTTTCTTGTATCCGCTGGTTGGGTCTCGTCTCAGTGTCTCATATGTGTTTGTGTCCATTAGTTTTGTGTTGACTTTGTTCTGGTAGTTCAGGCTGTGTTAAGGACTACCGTGCATCTTTCTTTCTTAGGATAGTGATGTTTTGATCCTTGCTCAGAGATGTCACAGCCTTCCTTTCTTGGATGGTGAGGTTAGAAAGGGCTGCAGATACCTTTAGTCTGAGCTGTTCCGCTTCTGTGTCTGTTAATTTGTTTTTCCTAATGGCTGATTCATCTCTGAGGGAGCATTGTACCTGCTTTATATTTTATGTTTGTCCTCTGCTTGGGGCCAGATGTCTGATCCTGCTGAATCATTCTTAGTACTTAGTTGTTTCTTTCTTCCTTTAATAAATACCAAAAGACTGCGGTTTGCCATTTTCTTGTTCAATTCTGCATCGGGAAATATACAATTTTCACGACCCAGTGTATTTTATTTTTAGGATTTTTAATTGTACAGGAGATTTAGGGGGAAATATTTATATGGGAGTACAGCGGATAGAATGGTAATATATGGGATTACCAGGAAAAACTGGAGTGTTGACAGCTATGCACACACATTCACTATCTTACCTCTTTACGTCACCTATTTGCATTGCATGCAGGTAAAGATCCATGTGCAGAGCAAAAGAGGTGCACTAGGAACCCATCAGCTATTGTCTGACTGATTTAGCTTTAATCAATCTTGGAACCCCAGAGGTTAGTATTTTATTGGCTTTTTAAAAACATATCTGCATCAAATGGTCGTCAGATGATGGCTGATGGCTTCCAAGATTACTAATCAGATTGTAAACAACAACACAGGAAGAGGAAGTCTTAGGCCGGATATCTGCTGGCTACACCAGAAGCTGAAATGTTGGCCAGCATCAGATGATAACTGAAGGTTTCGTTGCACCCACAATCACAATATTTTGCTGCAATAATTCATGAAAGGTTTTTAATTTAAAAAGAAATGTCTTTGTGTCCACAGAGAGAGGAAGAGGAGTCCTGTTCCTGTGGAGGAGCAGCCGTCCTGCTGTGCTTTGTGTCAGGACGTCCTGAAGGATCCAGTCTCTACCAGCTGTGGACACTGGTTCTGCAGACGGTGCATCACCTCATACTGGGACCAGTCTGCTTCATCAGGACACTCCTCCTGTCCCCAGTGTGGAGACAGATCCAGAACCAGAGCTGGACTGCAGACAGCCAGTCAGAGCAGCTCTGTACAAAGTAAGACTGGACATCTGTCTGCTTCTTCAGATATTCTGATATTGATGGTTTTTATATTAGTAATGAAAATAATCAGCACATATTCTTTGTTTTATCTCACATTGTTTCTCTTCTTTAGTGAGAGGTGGTCTGCAGGAGGTTTTAGATGAACATAAGATCAGTCTGAGGAGGAGATGTGAACGTGTGACTGAAGGAAGTGATGAAACAGGAAGTGGAACCCTCCTCAACAGGATCTACACTGAGCTCTACATCACAGAGGGACAGAGTGAAGAGGTTAATACCCACATGAGGTGAGGCAGCTTGAGACAGCTTCCAAGATGGAGATCCTCCATGACACTCCAATCAAGTGCCAGGACATCTTTAAAGCCTTACCTGGCCAACAGAGAGCCATCAGAGTGGTTCTGACCAACGGCGTCGCTGGCGTTGGAAAAACCTTCTCAGTGCAGAAGTTCACTCTGGACTGGGCAGAGGGCTCGGAAAACCAAGATGTCGTTCTGCTGGTTCTGCTCTCGTTCAGGGAGCTGAACTTGATCAAAGATGAGCAGCACAGTCTCCTCACGCTGCTCCATGTTTTCCATCCAACATTACAGAAGGTCCCAGCAGAGAAGCTCGCCGTCTGGAAACTGTTGTTCATCTTTGACGGCCTGGATGAAAGCAGACTTTCATTGGATTTCCACAACAGTGAGGTTGTGTCTGATGTCACACAGAAGTCATCAGTCAACCTGCTGCTGACAAACCTCATCGAGGGGAATCTGCTTCCCTCGGCTCTCGTCTGGATAACTTCCAGACCTGCGGCGGCCAATCGGATCCCTCCTTCGTGTGTTGACAGGGTAACGAAGTACGAGGCTTCAGTGACGCCCAGAAGGAGGAGTACTTCAGGAGGAGAGTCAGTGATGAAGAGCTGTCCAGCAGAATCATCTCACACATCAAGACCTCCAGGAGCCTCCACATCATGTGTCTAATCCCAGTCTTCTGCTGGATCACTGCTACAGTTCTGGAGCACATGTTGACTACAGAGCAGAGAGGAGAGCTGCCCAAGACCCTGACTGACCTGTACTCACACTTCCTGCTGGTTCAGACAAAGAGGAAGAAGCACAAGTACGATGAGGGACATGAGACCAGTCCAAAGGAACTGATGGAGGCTGACAGGAGGTTCTTCTGAAGCTGGGGAGGCTGGCGTTTAAACAGCTGGAGAAAGGAAACATCATGTTCTACCAAGAAGACCTGGAGCAGTGTGGTCTTGATGTCACAGAGGCCTCGGTGTACTCAGGAGTTTGTACAGAGATCTTCAAAAGAGAGAGTGTGATCTTCCAGAAAACAGTCTACTGCTTTGTTCATCTGAGCGTTCAGGAGTTTCTGGCTGCAGTCTACATGTTCCACTGTTACACCAGCAGGAACACTGAGGTACTGGAGGACTTCCTGGAAGATAGCGATGATCGTGATGACGACGAAGACAACTTCCTGAGGAGAGCCATGGAGAAATCCCTTGGAAGTAAAAATGGCCACCTGGACCTGTTTGTTCGCTTCCTTCATGGCCTCTCTCTGGAGTCCAACCAGAGACTCTTTGAAAGCCTGCTGGGTTGGACAAGGTCCAGTTCAAGAACCATCCAGAGAGCCATCAACAACCTGAAGGAGATGAACAGTGATGAGATCTCTCCTGACAGAAGCATCAACATCTTCCACTGTCTGACGGAGATGAAGGACAACACAGTACATCAGGAGATCCAAGAGTTTCTGAAGTCACAGAACAGATCAGAGAAGAACTCTCTGTGATCCACTGCTCAGCTCTGGCCTACATGCTGCAGATGTCAGAGGAGGTTCTGGATGAATTGGACCTGGAGAAGTACAACACATCATGGGAGGGGCGAAGGAGACTGATTCCAGCTGTGAGGAACTGCAGAAAGGCTCGGTAAGTCCAGATGTGATTAACATTATAAATCAGTGAAGATCAGCTGTTCAATTCCTCAAATAGACACACTAACAAATTCAGTTGTATTTTGTCACAAATGTTCTTGAGTGGTGAGAATTATTCTTTCATTTCAAACACAGTAAGATAGATTATCTGAACCACCAATGTGCAGAGCAAATGTTCATTAAACAGGATATGTCAAACGGTTTGACATATCCTGTTTTTTGTCATAAAATGAATTAGAACTGTTCTTCTTCATAGTAACTATTTTAATGTTTCCTTGCAGACTTTCTGATTGTGAACTCTCAGAGACTCACTGTGAAGTTGTGGCTTCAGCTCTGAAGTCCAACCCCTCCCATTTGAGAGAGCTGGACCTGAGTGACAATGACCTGCATGATACAGGAGTGAAGCTGCTGTCTGCTGGACTGAAGAGTCCAAACTGTAGATTGGAGATTCTGAGGTCAGTTCACTGACTGTAACAAAAGTAGAGAAATTTAATGTTTGACAGGACAGTTTTTTCAGCTTCCACAGACTCTCATTGTGGGCCATCAGTCAGTGAAGATGTCAGTACTGATGAGGCTGTTGAGTGTGAGAGATATGAACGAGGTTGTTGAAGATCAGATGATAGGAGATATAAACAGGCTGTAGAGAGTCTGAGCTTCTGTGTAAACAGAGAGACACAGGTTGGTTGAAGACATGAGTGCAAATCTCAATAAAGGTGAAGTTAGGAACGGTGATGATCTTCATTATAACAGAAGCTAATGTGGTACACTGCCCACACATCTGCTGTGGTTTGGTGTGCATTAAACCAGAGCTAATAGAGCTAAAGAGTAATAAATAGCAGCCTAATACAGACCAACATCCTAACTTTCTAGGGGTTCCTACAATCTTTCTTGGAAAGGAAAATTGTCTTTCTCTCACTGCCTCTCCACAGGGTGCCTCTAAATTTACACCACCTCACTGAGGCTGGTCACTCGCTCACTTCTCTTACCACTGCTACGCAGACAATATGCAACTCTACATATCCTTCCTGCCAGATGACCCCACCGTCTCAGCGCAGTTCAGGGACTCTGGTACAGGCCATGATTTTCCCTCATCTCAACTACTGCAATGCTCTCCCAGCGGGTCTTCCAGCCTGTATCCCCTACAAATGGTTTGCGGCGGTGCATCTAGTTTTCAATTAACCCAAAAGGAATCATGTCACTCCACTAATCAGCGACTTCCACTGTCCACCTACTGTAACGTTAATCGCCACTAACCCCGCTCTCTTGGGTTGCCACCCTTGGACCCTAGCACATTATGTTCAAATCCTACACAGAGAGAGGCCCCTGATAACAAGCTAGTTTCAGTATGAGGTTCTGGCCTACCTCAATTCCAAATGGCTAACTCCAGGTTTATACCTTTCCCAGCCATCCCCCGCTCCACCACTGTTCCTCACGCAGTGTGGCATTTGAACACAATCTATCAAGTTCCTTAACAGCAGATTTGTAGTTATCTGTAATGACTTGTGTGAAGTGTAGGCAGTGTGGATGACAAACTTACCACTGAGGGTCCACCAATCAGACCACACAGAGAGCTAAAAGCTAATGATTCTCCAAAAAGAAGAGACCTCGAGATCTGGGGTCTGCAGCTTAAAAAAGAAAAGGCAGGTTGGGTGCTTCATCCCTCTTCCAACATCCACATCAAACATCAAATTAAGATTTCTAATGTTCTAATTGATTTCTAAGTTCTTTTGGACAACAGATCTAACTGTTGCTCTGTTTTCATGGCAGCATTCATTATTTGAAGCCACAGACCTTTAGACTGCAACAAAAACCTCGTAAAAACAGTCAAAACAGAAAGTGATGTCATATCGCCACATAGCCCAATCCGATTAACAAAAAACTTAAACTCTGGCAACAGTCAGCCACTACCACTTACTTTGTTGCAAAAAATTATTTACAGAACATTCTTTTTTAATAAAATATTTTTCAATCTCTGTACAGCTCTCAGCATGTGATGTGTGTCATGCCTGTGGGACTGCTGGTCCGAATTGCATGGCCCCCACCGAGGCCATGCAAGTGGCAGCTTCTAGTTGTTGTTGTTATTATTAATATAAGATTTATGTCTCTTTTTCAGGATGATTGAATAAAATATTCAGTTATTAATTAGAAGTGTTTGATATTTATTTTGGATAAATTATTATATTAAGTGAGTAATACATTTTTTCCTTTAGAAGAATTAATTAGAAAAATTAGAATCGACTAATTGCAAAAATAATGAATAAATTTATTGATTTTTAAAATAATTGTTAGTCAAGCCCTATTTTTAGTCCAACATGTCGGATTTGACGTTTCAATTCAATTTTATTTATATAGCGCCAAATCACAACAAGACATTGTGATTTGGTGCTATATAAACAATTAGAGTATCAACAGACGTTGATACTCTAATTCCAGACTGGCCTGAGATCAGCAGCATGTTATTGATCTGTGTTGACATGAATAGGTGTACAAATATTGTGCTGACATCATGATGATCCACAATAACACGATGACGAAGTCCCTCTACTTATTTTAGGGAAAAGCTCATTGATTAGGACATAGTAATGTTGAGCTTCACGTTTAAAAATTGATGATTATCTCCGTCATTTTTTCTTTTTTCAGATTGTGGCGCTGCAGTTTGTCAGAGATCAGCTGTGCTTCTCTGGCCTCAGCTCTCAAGTCCAACCCCTCCCATCTGAGAGAGCTGGAGCTGAGCTACAACAAGCTGCAGGATTCAGGACTGAAGCTGCTGAGTGTTTTTCTGGAGAGCCCACACTGTAGACTGGAGACTCTGAGGTCATTTGACTGAGTCTCTGTTACAATTGTAGATTTTAGGATGATAAGTTTCAATCAAGTTACAACATAATAATTTTAGACAGTGCAAATTTTGTTTTTACACTATCAGCATCAAAGTTATATCTCCCAGATAAATATTCAAATTTTTATTCAGATTACATTTTGATTATGCTGAATTTAAACCGTGAAGAGAGAAACCTGACCACATCTGATTGGATTATAAATGTTTTTTTTCTTATCTCAATCATTTATTCTTTATTCAGATTGTGGCGCTGCAGTTTGTCAAAGATCAGCTGTGCTTCTCTGGCCTCAGCTCTGAAGTCCAACCCCTCCCATCTCAGAGAGCTGCAGCTCAGTGGAAACAAGCTGCAGGATTCAGGAGTGAAGCTGCTGTCTGTTGGACTGGAGAGTTCACACTGTAGACTGGAGACTTTGGGGTCAGTTCACTGACTGTCTGTCACTATTGTAACTTCCATCCATAAAGTTGTAAATGTCCTTTTGTTCATATTTTTCTTGTGCTAAATTTAGTCTGCAGTCTCAAAGACTTGTGTTTCTTAAAGAAACTGTAGAAAATGTCCACTGTTAGTCGTTATGGTAAATGGTCACATCTGTTACAGAAGATTTTCTGAACTAATTTGTTTTAAACTGATCAAGTTTACTTGTTGAAGTAGAAATATTTCTTTGCTTTCTGTTGGTTTCAATTTGTTTTCACAAATAATGTCTGATCATTGATATCGATCCTTCAGAATACACACGCTCACACACACACACACACACAGATCAAAACATATTTCCAAGTGCAGCTGTTTAAAGGATTAATATAGTTTTTTTCCTCTAGTTCCAGACTGGCCTGAGATCAGCAGCATGTTATTGATCTGTGTTGACATGAATAGGTGTATGAATGTTGTGCTGACATTTGGATGATGTCTGTAGAAGGCTGACATTATGATGATCCACAATAACACAATGACAAAGTCCCTCTACTCATTTTAGGGAAAAGCTCATTGATTAGGACATAGTAATGTTGAGCTCCACATTTAAAACCTGAACACATCTGATTGGATTAGAAATGGATTTTTATCTCCATCATTTATTCTTTATTCAGATTGTGGGGCTGCAGTTTGTCAGAGATCAGCTGTGCTTCTCTGGCCTCAGCTCTGAAGTCCAACCCCTCCCATCTGAGAGAGCTGGACCTGAATAACAATGAGCTGCGGGATTCAGGACTGAAGCTGCTGTCAGCTGGACTGGAAAGTCCTCACTGCAGACTGGAGACTCTGAGGTCAGTTCACTGACTCTCTGTTACTATTGAATATCTGATATGTTTAATTAACAGCTGAACCTAATTTCTGTACATGCATAGCTTCCATCCATAAAGTTGTAAATGTCCTGAGATCAGCAGTATGTTATTGAGCTCTGTTGACATGAATATGTGTATGAATGTTGTGCTGACATTTGGATGATGTCTGTAGAAGGCTGACATGATGATGATGATGATGCACAATAACACAATGACAGTCCATCTACTCATTTTAGGGTAAAGCTGATTGATTGGGACATAGTAATGTTGAGTTCCACATTTAAAAATTGATTATCACCATCATTTTTTCTTGATTCAGATTGAGGGGCTGCAGTTTGTCAGAGATCAGCTGTGCTTCTCTGGCCTCAGCTCTAGAGTCCAACCCCTCCCATCTGAGAGAGCTGGAGCTGAGTAACAATGAGCTGCAGGATTCAGGAGTGAAACTGCTGTGTGGTTTTCTGGAGAGTCCACACTGTAGACTGGAGACTCTGAGGTCAGTTCACTGACTCTCTCTTACTATTGTAGATATGTTTAATTAACAACTCAATCTAATAATGTTGTAAATGTCCTTTTTGTTCATATTTTAATATTTCTTGTACTAAATTTAGTCTGCAGTCACAAAGACTTGCTGTTAGTTGTTAAAGTAAGTGAATGTTTCAAAATTTTGATAAATGGCATCTGTATACAGAAGATCCTCTGAACTAATATTATTTAATTTTACTTGTTGAAATAGAAATAGTTATTTGGTTTCTGTTTATGTAAATGTTTTTTCACAAATAATGTCTGATTATTGATATAAACACACAGATCAAAGCATTTTTAAATGGTTTTTATCTTCATTACTTTTCTTTATTCAGATTATGGGACTGCAGGTTGTCAGAGGTCAGCTGTGCTTCTCTGGTCTCAGCTCTGAAGTCCAATCCCTCTCATTTGAGAAAGCTGGAGATGAACTACGACAAGCTGCGGGATTCAGGAGGGAAGTTGCTGTCTGCTGGACTGGAGAGTCCACAATGTGGACTGGACACTCCGAGGTCAGTACTGAGTTGAAGTGTTCAATATGAAACTGATACGCTCACAAGAGGTTTTTTGTACTGACATTTTAATTAGAGCCCAACCGATTTATTGATTTGCAGATATTATCTGCCGATATGAGCTACTTGCAGATATATCTGCATTGGCATTTATGACAGCCGATATGACAATAAATAAAGAGAAACAGAGAGTCGGATCTGTCCCTCAGGTCATGAGTGGTGCATAGTTTGCCCACCAGAGGGCGCGCCGCAGCTCCTCTGTTAACAACCCTGCAGCACCACAGAACAAACAACAACTGACCGCAGTCTGCCGGAGGTCAGAGCGGCTCTGCCGAAGTGATGGTATAAGTAACTCTTTTCACAGATTTGAATATTCAAATCTCGTTCATTAAATGAAGTAATCTTTTTTTGAGTCAAACAGCGTAGTTCTCAAACAGGGAAGTATAATCCACAAATTCACCTCTTGATCTTTCTGTATCATCTTTCTATAAAGCCCCATGGGGCTATAACCAAATTCATACCATAAGAAATAAGTTGTCAATATGCAATCGCTACTACTCCGGCTAAATCCGTCCATTTTCACAATCTTTCCTGAGTATACAACCAGACCAGCCATATATATGTATTTATAATTATATCATTATATCTCTAAAGTGCTCATTCATACAATAGTCTAACGTCCCTATCCGTGAGTAACAGCTGTATTTTAACATCAGATTTGCAGGGGAAAATAAAAAGGAAAAAGTTATGTTGCATTCTCTGGCGGACCGGATCAGCTGTTAGCTGTAAACGCACCACAGGGCTAACGCTAATGTTGCTATGTGGCTGTGTTTTAATGTTTTAACGACCGGGTCCATTTGTTTTGGAGAGGACACGACCTTGGAGGTAATTTGGCTCCCGGTAAAACCCTGTCAGGGTTCTGAACAACCGACTTGCCTCTCATTCTCTGGTGCTGGCAGTAACTCAGGCTGCCGAATGAATGAATGCCTGAGGAGGACCCATGTGAGCAGTGAACAATTAGTTCATTCCTGCTCCACAGTAGCCGAGCTGTCACGTGAGAAATGAACAAGTCAAACCCAGAGTCCCACAGTTGATGGCTGACGGAGCTCATGCAGCTGTCCAAGACTATTCATGCATGCGTGAAAATGAATGAATTACTCCCTCAGACAACCTGTTCCTCCTCAGTCACATACAAGATTACGTCAAATGAACTAAACTTTCTTTGAACGACACAACACTACTCTGCCGGAGCTACGGTGAGGAGCTCCCTAGCTCCTGGTAGCACTCACACTCACTGTTTACGGTGAGTTGTTAATTTATCACATCAGTTACTTCACTTAAGTTGTCTATGAAGATTCTCAGTCATCCAGGTCATAGTTATCCAACGAAGGTTAAAATGAATCCAAAGGACTTTGGATAAGGGACGAAACGTCTTCCAGTAGCTTCAACCAAGTCCAGTTGCCCTTCATTTTAACCTTCGTTGGATTACTTCACTTAAATAATAATAAAAACAGCCCTTATCACTTCTCCAGACTTGCTAACCCTCCGGTTTTTCACTGCTCTCTCCCGGTCACAGCAGGAGTAGGTGAGTGGTGGAGGCTAACGGTACGCTGACTGTTAGATTAATTCTGAAAAAAGTGCGGCACTTCTAGGGAACGGTCCTCTCATTTCTCCCTTCTAAATATTATTAAACATAACGTTACAGCAGCTAACTAAATTAGCCACAAAGCCAATGCCGTGTTTATCAGTAGAGGAGCGCTAACGTTAATGAGCGATTTAAACTAGTGTTTGACGTATTCTAAATATATATATATATATATATATGCCTATGAAGGAGAGCCATTATTATTATAGCAATGACATAAGATATGATGAGGAGTAGTAGTATATGGGTAATTCTTATAGTTTCTGTTTTGCTGGCCCCGATTTACTCTATAATTTATAACAAATCAGATATTAATTTCTTTCTGTAGTTTTATTTGACTCTTATTTATCAAAACCTTAATATATTTTGTTGTACCTTTTGTACAAAGTATTATTTATTACAATAAAAAAGTTTCTTTTTAGACTACATTATGTCATGGTATCTTGGTGAGGTCTCAACATAACATTTTAGGGATAATCTTTGCTTATGTCATGCTTTTCTCAAAATAAGGGGAAAAACAATATTGGTCAATATATCGGCTATTGGATTTTAAAAATCTCAAATATCGAACTCGTCACTGCTCAGATTAATTAAGAGCTTCCTCAAACACAGAGCCTTTTCTTCCAAATCTAACTATCAATATTTGCTATAAATGATCAATTTCTTTAAGTAGTAGTAGTGTATCTGAAATGTATTGGTGTATACAGCAGGTAAAATAAGTACTGAACATGTCATCATTTTTCTCAGTAAACGTATTTCTAAAGGTTCTATTGAAATGAAATTTTCACATGTTGGTAACAACCCAAGTAATCCATACATGCAAAAATGTAAGTTATGTGTAATGTGAAGTAACACGGAATAGGTTTTGAACATGCTTACTTAAATATTTTTAATTCTTCGTACAAAAGCCTTTGTTGGTAATAACAGCTTCAAGAAGCCTCCTATATAGAGAAACTGGTCCTATGCATTTCTGAGGTCGACATTGGCCCATTAGCACACGCCGGTAGCAGGGATCGTGTGAGCTACAGAGAGAGGTGGCGGTGAGTAAAAAGTGTTTTTGTAGTGAAAAAGTAGCCGCCTGCTCTCATTGGCTGGATGTGGATGTCGAGTCGACCGACTCTTCCACATATTTGGCGTGCTAGATATCTGGCTGGCGTCTGCAATGTGTCAGAAATGCATCTGGGAGCCGTTTTGTTTTCAGTATTTGTTTCTTCCTACAGGGTGGATGGCAGTGAAAACAACTCTACACCTGACAGGCATGAAGGATGTGAGTTAAAGCCCTCTGGAATATCTTAAAGAAACTTAAACTGTCTGCTGTGTGCTTCATGGCTCTGGTTAATCCCGGTAACATTGTTCTGCTCTGCATGTTGGGAAAGATGATGTCTTGTTGCTGTGTTGCCTCACTGCAAGAATGTCTTCAATCTCTGTATATTTAATTGTATGGACACGGTGCTAAATTGGTATCTTTGGACATCTTGACCTTATTCGATGGTTTTCCAGTAGAGTTCAACAGGACACATGGGGTAACGACCTGCTCCAAAGGGCCCTGGCCAGCCTTGAACTGGTTACAGTGGTTACAGGTTTTTGAATGTTGGGTCACCAGGACGTCCAAAAGTGAGTTTGACGTCTGCTTCTGCTTCTCTCCATCCGATGTCTCTGATCACCACCAGATCCGTCTGAGGACGCCAGAGAGGATCAGCTGTGTCCTGATGATCCAGAGAGGTTGAAGCAGCAGCAGCTTCTGTGTGGAGAGGCTCTGAATACAAAGGTCACTTTTTCACTTGAACATTTTTATTTGTCTCGGGTTCCTTAGTTTTAGCGCCTCCAGAGTTTAATATTTCTTACCCTCTAAACTCCTCTCGCTCTCCTATCAGAAACTCCCTAAATTAATTTCCACCTCCTCGTCTATGAAACCTCCAGCTGCTGTCCCACAGAGCTCTGCAGGCTTCACTTGTGCAGGATCGTCCCCTGAATAATAATGATAACTGCTATAATAGTAACAACAACAGATAATCAAGTGACGTCTCTGACCGGCTCACTCAGTCAGAGCTTCACTGTGCTCAGATAACATCAGGCAAGCATCTCCCAGTTCTGTGTAGTACAGCACAGGTCTGCTGGATCTGTTAGAGCTGAAACACAGTACCCATCAGGCACTGCTCTACTCTCTAGTTTTAAATCACAAGTGATTGCTGAATCATAACCAGTCATGTGACCATTAACCACAAAGTGCCAAACGTTTCTTTTTTTTTATGATGTAATGTTTTAATTGGCTTGTAGTTCTGTATGATGCAGAGTTCCTGTCACCTGAACATAACTCTGAGAGTTGGGCGTCCAGTTTCTGCTCCCATCTCAACGTGTTCTGTAACTAATTTTGTACTGTTTTTCAATTTTAGGAGAAGTTAAGTTTCACACCTGACCTGCTGACTGACTCTGGAAAGACTTCATACAGGTAAATAAATTGAATTAACTTATGCTTCACCTCCTTTCAGCACTTACATTAGAGTTTAGCTGATACAGCCCCAGTATACTTTATCAGAACTGCTGGTCTGATGGTCGAACAGCTTCAGAAACCCCTTGGAGCTGTGTTGTAACTTTCTGAAACCGACAACCTGACATCACAACGAGCTCACTCAGTGGTTGGTGAGCTGTGGATCAACTCTCTTTTGTATTCTTCACAAAACTATTGAACTTTTAAGGTTTGAAATAGGCCTGAAATCATTAAGCTCTAAAGGATACAGGTAACTTTTCTCAGGAGAGATGTGTGTGAAGATTCTCAGTCACTCAGATCATACTTATCCCAGGTGGATTAAAATCAAGTACTTTACTCGGTTGTAGACACTCAAAGATGTTTTGCCTCTAATCCAAGAGGCTTCTTCAGTTCTTACTGACTGGTACTGGTAACAGGTGGTGTTCGGACAGAGATCCAGCAGTTATCCACAAATCTGGCCCAGGCAGAGGTTAGTCCGGTTATTCCATGTGTTCTGTTTTAGCAGATGTGTCCTTACGGTTTCCACTGCCGGGTACATGTGAACAAGGAGGTCACATCATAGTTTTCTATCATTCCTTAGCACGGAGGGGACGTCTCAATAAGAACAGCAGGTCTGTGGCTATTTAACCAGGTTTCTGTTAAAACATGGAGTCAAGTTTATGTTCAGACATGAGTTATTAATAACAAAAGCCACATCCATTTTCCCTTTCAGTCTGTCTTAGTGCCTTTAAATGGGATGGAGATCAGATTACGTGCAGTAAATTCTTAAAGCATTGTAGTCTAAATTGTTATTATTAATTATTAGAGCAATAACGGTCTACATTGTCATCATGTGTTATTTTTATCTTTATCAAAGTTTTGTTATAGTTTGATTGTTATTGCCTTAAATGATGAGGTTATTGATGTAAGGTTGAATCATTCCCCCTTCAGGAATGTAGAAGCAGATTTGTGTGAAAACTATGTTATAAAACAAACAGCTAAAGTGAAGATCGCAGTCTTAAAACTAAAGCTGTGTGTGTGTGTGTGTAGAGGACGACACACAGCAGAGCACAGTGAGAAACTAGCACGCAGCACAAAAGTCAGGTTATGGTTGATATATACTGATCAGCTGTAAGCATGCCAAAGACACAGAGGGGGGGGGAATGCAGCCAGGCCGAGAATGCTGAAAGGTTGGAAAACAATGAGGGAAGAGAGACACCCAAATATCTGGGACTTTCACAGATCCAGGTGCAGCAGGAAAGAGAGCCAAGAGAGGATATAATGATTAGAAACAGAGCTAGGCCGGAAGAAGTCGACTGTCACTTGTTTCATGTTGACTCGGGTCTCTGTTCAGGTTACAGAATGGGACTCTTTTGCGTCGATCTCTGACCCTCTCCGGGGAAACTTCGGTGCTCTAAGTCGTGTCTATTTCTGTTGAGAATAAAAATGTTGGTAAAAGTTCAAGCTTTCTGGCCTAAGTCAGGATACTAGTCCAGATTAAATGATGGTTAGTGGATTCACATGTTAACTGGGATGATATTAGACTGAAAGTAGACTGGCAGTCCAGGTCCCTTGTAGTGACCATGTTGTAACCACATGGTGAGGTGATTACCTTGTGAGGATATGGATTTTCTCAGTCAACTATGACAGTATGTGGGATGGCCACGTCTGTGTTTGCTGAGAGTGTGCACCAGTGGCCATTTCTCTGACAGTATTCACTGTAGTTCCAGAAAAGGTTGACATTGTCAATCAGGTGGATTCCAAGAGTTGTCCAATCTGCCCTGAGCCAGTTGTGGAGTTAGCGAAGCGGCTTTGTTCTCAGAAATCCTCCTCTAACACCCGACAGCAGCTCTGCCTTTAGCTGAAACAGTTTCAGTTCTAATTTTATAAATATTATTGATGCCATTGCTCCAAACGAGATCAAAATAGTTTCTCGTAGGAAAAAAGCACCATGAAGAAATACCACACTGGTAAAAGGTCAAGAAAGACCTGAAAAGAAACAAAGTCTGGAAAGGCAGAAGATGAGATCTATAAAGAAGGACCTTACAGCTATGACTTTGATCTAGAAAGTGCAAGGCAGTATTTCCTTTTTTTCTCTGAGATTATTTATAAAATAATACAAGCCCCATCAGCATCAGTCCCTCCTGACATGCTATCCACCAAGTCATGTAAAGACTTCTTTTTTCCCAGATAAAATTCTAAAGAACAGATGAACAGAAGGCAACTCCATCTCTGGAAAAATAGCTATGTCACCTGTACATGCATAAGACTACCGGTACTCTAGTTAATGCAGCAGTTTTTTTACCCCCTATGTAAAGCAACCTTGACAGAATTAGTTCAAAACCTCAGGCCTTCTACTTGCTGCCTTGAGACTCTGCCTCCAGGCTTCTTTAAAGGCATTTGATCTGCCTAGCATTAGATGTATTACAGATACAGTGGGTACGGAAAGTATTCAGACCCCTTTAAATCTTTCACTCTTTGTTTCATTGCAGCCATTTTCCAAAAATCAAAAAAGTTCATTTTATTTCTCAGTAATGTACACTCAGCACCCCATCTTGACAGAAAAAAACAGAAATGTAGAAATTTTTGCAAATTTATTAAAAAAGAAAAACTGAAATATCACATGGTCATAAGTATTCAGACCCTTTGCTCAGTATTTAGTAGAAGCACCCTTTTGATCTAATACAGCCATGAGTCGTTTTGGGACAGATGCAACAAGTTGTTCACATCTGGATTTGGGTATCCTCTGCCATTCCTCCTTGCAGATCCTCTCCAGTTCTGTCAGGTTGGATGGTAAACGTTGGTGGACAGCCATTTTCAGGTCTCTCCAGAGATGCTCAATTGGGTTTAAGTCAGGGCTCTGGCTGGGCCATTCAAGAACAGCCACGGAGTTGTTGTGAAGCCACTCCTTCGTTATTTTAGCGGTGTGCTTAGGGTCATTGTCTTGTTGGAAGGTAAACCTTCGGCCCAGTCTGAGGTCCAGAGCGCTCTGGAAAAGGTTTTCGTCCAGGATATCCCTGTACTTGGCCGCATTCATCTTTCCCTCGATTGCAACCAGTCGTCCTGTCCCTGCAGCTGAAAAACACCCCCACAGCATGATGCTGCCACCACCATGCTTCACTGTTGAGACTGTATTGGACAGGTGATGAGCAGTGCCTGGTTTTCTCCACACATACCGCTTAGAATTAAGGCCAAAAAGTTCTATCTTGGTCTCATCAGACCAGAGGATCTTATTTATCACCATCTTGGAGTCCTTCAGGTGTTTTTTAGCAAACTCCATGCGGGCTTTCATGTGTCTTGCACTGAGGAGAGGCTTCCGTCGGGCCACTCTGCCATAAAGCCCCGACTGGTGGATTGCTGCAGTGATGGTTGACTTACTACAACTTTCTCCCATCTCCCGACTGCATCTCTGGAGCTCAGCCACAGTGACCTTTGGGTTCTTCTTTACCTCTGTCACCAAGGCTCTTCTCCCCCGATAGCTCAGTTTGGCCGGACGGCCAGCTCTAGGAAGGGTTCTGGTCGTCCCAAACGTCTTCCATTTGAGGATTATGGAGGCCACTGTGCTCTTAGGAACCTTAAGTGCAGCAGAAATTTTTTTGTAACCTTGGCCAGATCTGTGCCTTGCCACAATTCTGTCTCTGAGCTCTTCAGGCAGTTCCTTTGACCTCATGATTCTCATTTGCTCTGACATGCACTGTGAGCTGTAAGGTCTTATATAGACAGGTGTGTGGCTTTCCTAATCAAGTCCAATCAGTATAATCAAACACAGCTGGACTCAAATGAAGGTGTAGAACCATCTCAAGGATGATCAGAAGAAATAGACAGCACCTGAGTTAAATATGAGTGTCACGGCAAAGGGTCTGAATACTTATGACCATGTGATATTTCAGTTTTTCTTTTTAATAAATTTGCAAAAATTTCTACATTTCTGTTTTTTTCTGTCAAGATGGGGTGCTGAGTGTACATTACTGAGAAATAAAATGAACTTTTTTGATTTTTGGAAAATGGCTGCAATGAAACAAAGAGTGAAAAAATTAAAGGGGTCTGAATACTTTCCGTACCCACTGTAGTTCTGCCCTGCCAGGACTTTCCCAGGGACCTGAAGACAGCAGTTATTAAACCACTCTGAAAAAAGCCTCAGCAATAAATAACTACAGGCCCCCATCAAACCTTTCTTTTTCAGTAAAGATCATTGAAAAGGTTGTTTTTCAGCAACTTAATGCTTTTCTGGTGCAAAACATGCTTTTCATTCTGTATTTCAACAACACAACAGCACTGAGGCTGTTTGAATGACATTCACCTGAGCTGTGAAATTTTAGTTTTGTTATTACTGGACCTCAGTGCTGATTCAACATGGATGACCTGATACTGCTCGACAGGCTAGAAAAGTGGGTGGGACTTTCTGGCACTGTGCTTAATTGGTTAAAATCATATTTACAAGATTTGCTTTCTGTCAATTGGTAATAAAGGAATCTGGGCGAACAAAAATCACACGCTCAGATTATTGAACATTACAGAAATCAATTCTAAATCATACTGGGATCCAGTGTAAGAGGCTAAAACAGGCTTGATGTGGTCACTTCTCCTGATCTTGATAAATGCTCTGTTCAGTCTGGAGCCGATTAATAGGCTTTTGGTTGAGGCAGGTGAAGAGGCCGTTGCATTAGTCGAGGCATGAGGAGATGAAGGGATGTAAGATGGTCTCTGAAAGATAAACTAGATCGTACTTTGGAAGTATTTCTAAGATGATAAAAACAAGTCCACCCGAGTTTTGTTGTGTGCCGCTCAAAGATTAAATTACTATCAATATTAGTGTGAGCAGAAAAGTATCAGGTTGTGACCGAGCAGAAAGAAATATTAAAATATGTAAAATACAATATTAATAAAAACTGTTGAACTCAACAGATCATGTGACCAGCAGGCTGAAAGCCTGTTGTAATCTGCCCTTCTGTGTCCTGCAGGTTCAGGTGTCCTGGTCCAGGTGTGTTCCAGTGTACTTTGACTGGACTGATGTTTGGTATGACTCAGGAGGCGGAGCTGCTGTACCGGACTGTCCAATGGGATGAGAGCCTCCTCCAATCAGCCGGCAAGACGGCTGCAGGGCTGCTGTTCAGTATCAAGTGTCCTGAGGATGCTGTCTGTCAGCTCCACCTGCCGCACTGTGAAACAAAGGACGGTGAGGACTTTATTGTGATTAGTGAGGGGAGAGTTTTGTCTGAGCAACGATGAAACAACATCCTGTTCTTACAGTCTGAACAGCTGTGGAGCCGAACATGGAAGGTTTGTCCTGAGGGGGGCGCTAGAATAAAATCAAAAGGGTTCATGGTTTGAGGAGAATGAATGAAATTTCTGGGAAATATAATTTTATGATTTAATGATTGATTACCAAACATTTCGTGGCATGTTGGACAGTTGTGTACGTTGTTGTTGTTGTGACAGACAACAATTAGTTGATTACTGAAAATTAATCTGAAACAATTTTTATTATTGATTAACTGATTCGAGAAAAGTGCTCAATGTTTTCCAGTTCCTTACAATGTGAGGATTTGCTTTTTTATATAGTAAACTAAATATCTTTTGGTTTGTTTGGACATGTTGGCGAGTAAAATGATTTAAAGGGGCACCAAATTTGGTAAAATAGGTTAGGTAAATCAAATAATTTTGAATCAGAATTACGATAATAATTAGATAATAAGATGATAATAAAGAATGACATCAATTGATGTTGAAGTTCCTTGGGGAACCACCCTAAAAGATAGAAAAGGGAAAGCTACTTAATTGATTGATTGACAAGGTGTATGTTTTGTATAAAGCAATAGTGCAAGTAAAATTCCAAACAGAAGTATTTTCCTTAGTGCACTTAATGCAAGTTGGAATTTTGTCGTTAGTAGGTGCAAAAGAAAAGTTCAAGAGGTCACCAAAGTCATCACTTGGGGATCGTGAATATACTAAAAAAGCTTTTTTAAAATTGTTAGTCCTTTACTTTTTCTTTAGGTAGTTCCCTCTGTTTATCCCCTTTAGGTCTCACAGAAGCCCAGACTGATTCAAAATAGCATCAAGTGCACAATACATCTCTGGCTTCCCATCCACCACCACTGTGTTCAATAAATTGCTCAACCTGGGCAGCAGTTATATTCTTCAATGACTGGCCTTCCTGCTTATACAATAAGGTTCGGACTAACATGGTGCTGAGGTTGTTATCAGTAAACCAGAAGTTTACCAGCTCTGTGTTTTCACAGCTCTGCTGCCTGACGGTCTGCTGTCTGTCGTCCACATCACTGATGATGGAATGAGCATCCTCGAGCCGCTGGAGATTACAGACACTCATGTGGTTGTCAAAGTCCCTCACCTCTCTCTATTTGGCCTGGTCTGGGATATAGGGAGGTTGTGGACGACACCAGTTTGTGGCCAAGTTCTGCTGTTCCTCGGACCACCGAACCCAAGAACACAGAGGCAAAAACTGAATGTGTTTCTCTTGCCGAGCAACATCCACCTGGACGAGGTAAAGCTTCATGTTACAGCCGTCAATCCAAACTTCCCTGATGTGGCTTAAAGTTCACAGTTTTTCTGTCTTAAACAACAGTCAGGTGTCCGTATGAAAACTGAGCAGCCTTTTCTTCCCGTAATGATGCCTTTGGTGTGAGCGACCAGGGTTCAATTCCAATTCATATGGGCAAACACTGTGGACTTAAAATTTCTGCCTTGATCGGTTTGAACCACTTTTGGTAGACCAAATATCGAATATCATCTGTCCAATCCAGTTTATTGTTGAGTTGCACCCCAGGAACTTGTAGGTGTCCACCATCTCTACTCCCTCCCCCCTTGTTACAACAGGATTGTGGGGCCTCTCGCTGCGTCTGAAGTCCATATAGCAATTGTACCCTTTTCTCCAAAGGGTATCTTTATAGATTTGACAAGTAGGCTCACACAGGATGCAACCCAGAGTCAGAGGGGAAGAGAGAGTGAACTCTTCAGGAAAGCCTTTCTAATACTTGGCTTGGCATGCTGATTGGTCTGCCCAAGATCTGCCTGACCAGGCTATGCTGCTTTCCAGGCAACTGGGAACTTGAAAATTTACAATCTTCAGCTAGAAAAAGTACTATAGAAGGCCACTTGTTCCTACTTGTGAACTCGTAACACGTAACATGTAACTCATAACGACTTCATGAGTAGCAGCCGAATGACGTCACACAACTATGGCAGCTCCCATAGAAGCACACATTGTAAATGGTAAACCATAAACTAAAAGGCAACTTTAAGTATATTTGAATGTGTTTAAATTAGAATAATACATATATATATATATATATATACCCTGCGACCCTGTACACAGGATAAGATGACGGATGGATACTATTATATAGGAAAACCTGTTCTGCATGTAAATTGATGTAGAAAAATGTCACCAATGTTATTAGGTGCGTGCAGTCGATATTGACTACCAGCTATGTACAGCGTGCGACAACTCAGCAGTAACGTTAACATAGCTGTCCTTATTAGCTAGGCCCCTTACATGCTTGCTAATAACTTTTTAAGGTGAATCTCTGAAATTGACAGCGTTGCGTTGGACTGATTTGTGCAGCAGTGTTCATGAGAGAAAGAGAGAGAGGGTGTGTCATGCACCATCATGCACCTGGGCGGCTGATCCCCCTGGTTGCGTGTCGAAGTGTCCTTGGGCAAGATACTGAACCCCGATTTGCCCCTGGCGGCTGTTCCGCCAGTGTATGAATGAGTGTGAATGTTAGTTTCCGTTTGAGCACTTAGGCTCAGTGTATGAATGGTGAATGCAGAATGCATGTAGTGTAAAAGCGCTTTGAGTGGTCGCTATACAAGTACGGAGCATTTACATTTACCTGGAAGAGTCTGAGGTCGGAAGTCTGATATTTCAACTTGGAAATTTTCCAGTTCTAAGTTGCCTGGAACGCAGCATCAATCTCCTGGTTAGCACCTGTAGATGACACAGGGGGATGCTTCTGTGGATTTAAAGGTTGAAATTCTTAAAGCTAAACAAAGCTATAAGGAAAAACTAGAAAATAAGATGGCATCCAAAAATCCTGGCTCAGCATGGGCAAATATGAAAACCATTGTAGGCCTTCATAACTCAGATTGCAGTAATCAGATTATTTTAAATGGTTTTAGTTCTGATCTTGAACTAGCAAATGCACTAAACGATTTTTATTGTCGTTTTGACAATTTGAATTTTAATAAAGAAATCCAGGAATTGAGCGTTAAGTTAATGGATGATCAGCATTTTAACATCGACCTTCAGGATGTGGAAAAAGCTTTCAGACAAGTTAAGGCAAATAAAAGCCCAGGTCCTGATAGCATTTGTGGCAGACTATTAAAGTCATGTGCAAAAGAATTGAGCCCTGTATTTCATGAAATTTATAATAAGTCTCTGGAGACACAACATGTACCGATCCTGTGGAAGGATGCGGTGGTCATTCCTGTCCCTAAATGTAGAGACCCTAAGATGATAAATGATTTTAGGCCGGTCGCTTTGACTTCCATTTTAATGAAAATCCTTGAGAAATTAGTACGGTCTGAGATTTTGAGGTGGACAGAACATCGATTGGATCCTATGCAGTTTGCATATAGACCTCATAGAGGAGTACAGGATGCTACACTCACAATGTTAAATCTGCTATTAGGACACTTGGATGGACAGAGGACACATGCTAGACTTTTATTTGTTGACTTTTCTTCGGCGTTCAATACAATTCAACCACACATTTTAATTGAGAGGCTTTTAGATCAGTTTGTGCTAAGTAATAATTTGATTGGTTGGATTTTGAATTTCTTAACTAATAGAACACAAAGAGTAAAAGTGAATGGTGTCTTATCTACACAGATGAGTTCCTCTACAGGGTCTCCTCAGGGATGTGTGCTGTCCCCGCTTTTATTTATTTTATATACTAACATGTGTCAAAGCATGTATGAGAATAGATTTATTATAAAATATGCGGATGACTCAGTAATTTTGAGTTTACTTAAAGAGAATGAGACCTCACATGGTCCAATTATTGAGCATTTTGTCAAGTGGTGTGATGAATCTTACTTACAGTTAAATATATTGAAGACCAAAGATATGCTTATTGATTTTAGGAAAAGCACTCATCCAAGTGATCCTACCTTAATTAAAGGCCAAAAAATAGAGTATGTACAATCATACAAATATCTTGGGACCATAATTGATGAGAAACTAAATTTTGAAGAGAATTGTGAGGCTCTGAAAAAAAAGGGGCACCAGCGTTTGTACTGCCTAAGGAGATTATCTGTATTCAATCTTGATAAAACAATAATGAAGTTGTTCTATCATGCTTTTATAGAATCTGTTTTGTCTTTTTCCATCTTAGTATGGTACGGTCATATATCCTTAAAGGCAAAAAATCATCTAGATCAGATAATAAAATGGTCTGGCCGTTTGATAGGCGAGTCAAAACCAGGAGTGGCATCACTATATGCCAAACAATTACAAAGGATGGCCCTTTCAATTTTAAATGATGACTCTCACCCTCTGCGAAATGAGTTTCAGTTATTACCGTCTGCGAGGAGGTATAAAGTCCCTAGGTGTAGAACGAAAAGACATAAAAGCAGCTTCGTAATAAATGCGATTGATATGCTTAACAAATTGTAGAGGTGTTTTCTCAGATATATACTAGGGGTCTCATGAATTTTTCATGAATTTTTCATAATGATTTTTTATTTTATTTATTTTTATCTGTCTTTATGTGTAGTGTGATGTTCTGTGTTGTGTGTTGTTTTTTTGTACTGGATGCCATAGAATGTCATTGCACTGTAAAACAAATTTACCTACGGGTATAAATAAAGTAAACAACAACAACAACAACAACTTCTCCCCCGTCCTTCGGAGCCAATTTTGCTAGTGGCCAAACAAGCACCTGGAAGCCAGCGTCACAACCCACATGGCATCCGGAAATCTGTAAAGATTTGCTGCTTTTGTATTATATGACAGTAAATGGACAAAGTAAGGACGTCACCTTTGACTTGAGAAATGTTTGACCGGCATTTTTCTGTATTTTCTGACATTAAAATGTTCTGATGTCTTTTTAAGGTGAGAAAACAACAGGGAAATTGTGAGAACATTGAGGCTCCTTCCAAATGCAAATTCATCAAAGATGAAAGTTACACTGTTCAATGTCCTGAGGCCATCAAAGTACAGCCTAAGGTGAGTGTTTAAAATTAAAGTTTCATCATTCATTCATCAAACTACGGTTTGTTACCTTTTGTTTACTTTGGATGCTATGGAAGTTATGACACTTTAATTTTCAGAGAGCAGATTTTATCCTGGACTTTGGACCAAATTACCATCCAACATTTGAGATCCGCCTGCCGACAAACACGGAGGAAGTGACTATAATGGTCCAGGACCAAAGAAAGACGGAGATCTGGGAGCATGAAGTTGATCTAACAGGTAAAGTCCTCATCCGCCTGCAGCATTACTCCACCTGATAGTACAGCAGAATCGATGAACAGTTACTGATCTGTGGTGCCTTAATATATTTAGTAGATGAAAATTTAAGTCTGATGTCTGAGGGAAAGTTTTGACTTTGTTTTTGAGGTTTTGATTTTGACACAATGTGAAGGAGAGCAACATACAGATCATTGAAGCTGCAAAGTTTATGTATCTTATCTTCAGTTCCATCCTGAGGAGAGTTATCAGTATTACAGTAACAGGGAATGGAAATGTTTATCAGCTTTTTGCACGTAAGGTATTAAAGCTGTGACTGTGACTCCCATGGAATCAGGTCGTGGCAGACGATTCAACCACAAACCACACAAGTAAAACTAAAACTGTTTCATGATTTGGGTTAAGTCCCAGGCGCGTGGGAAGGCATTTCGCTTACTGCTGCACGGTAGGAATGTGCGCATGACACGACTGAGTGTGCACACATTCACACACTTTCCATCAACACGGAGAGATTACAAGTTACAAAACAGGCAAAGAGATAAAGAGAAGGTGCAAGAAAGTGGTAGCCTATGCTACAGCTGGGACTAGTTTTTCCCCAGTTATCCAACTTCAGTTTCATAACATAAACATTTTATAAACATACATATTTGGAAACAATCTGTTACCTTGTCCCTTTTGTAACAACTACAGGCCGAGCCTACATCAACAACATCACTACCAGTTAATGAAGTTCCGTTTACTTTTCATATTGTTTACCAGTCCTTTTTTATTACTACAAGGTCCCTTCACCTACTATTTAACGATCGCCTATTTAAAGAACAACCATACATTAATAACAAAAAGAAAATCCAACTCACTTTCAATAGAAAGTACTGAAGATGGCCGTGCATTCAGCCGTGTGCTGCACAAAGATTCGCTTCAAAGGCTCAATGATGAACCTGATGAACATGCAGCAAAGGCGTGTGTGTTAGTCTTTGTTGCGTCATGGTACTTGTTAACCATGTTTTTAGCTGCTGAAGGGTGGAGAATGACCTCTCAGAGGAGGCGACAGACACAAACAAAGATCAGCAGATCCTGAGTTTGTGGATGCAGTCCCCCCCCAAACTCTGCAATGTCCGGAGCTGTTCTGAGTCCTTTGTCTTTGGTAAGATCAGAGATCCACGTGCAGCCGAGACTTGTCAACTTGGCAAGGGAGATGGACAGCAATGTCCTCCAAACCTGAATAGAGGCAATTCACAGATCTATAATGGTTTTCTCTTGCTGTGCTGCAACTTTCATTCCAGGTTGATCAAAATGGCGGTCCAGCTCTGGTGTTACAAGGTCCAAAGCCTGAAAGAATTCACATTCTCCCTCCCTCACGTCGCCCTCCAGCACTTAAAGTGTCTCCCAAAGCACTCCACATGAAACACGCTTGATTGCCTCACTGCGCATCATCGGCTAAAAATTACAGGAACAATTTCTTGTGCTTCCCCTGTTGAAACAGAAATTGAGTGTGTCTGCGACCAGGCGTACCTCCCTAGTAACCTTTTGTAAAATTAAATCCAGCGGATGATTGCTGCTATGAACATACAGTGCAGCGGGGCATTGTGCTTTCAGTTTTGCGTGGACACCTGCAAAACGGCCAGACATATTGCTTGCACCATCAAAACAAAAACCTTGAAAGCGATCGGCAAGTTCAGAGGCATAAAAATATCTCAGCTGCAGGAAATAAGTGTGTCTGCTGTGTGGTATCAAAAGCAATGAAGAATCCAAAAAAAACGTTTGCGACTGATAAGTTTTTGTCCGCATAATGTAAGCTACAGGGAGACTGCTCAGACGCTCTTACATCCATGGGTCCATCAGCCGTTAGTCCAAACGTACGTTCTTTGGCCTCAGACATAATTCCTTCCACTTTTTAAACCATCATGCTTGAAATGATCTTTCAAAAGTCTCTGTTCCAAATCTCCATCCAGTAAAGTTGAGATGGGCTGACATGGCCTCTCATATCCAGGAAGAACACTGAACACCACTACGTCCTCTTCGCTTTGTAATCTAGGAGTTTTGGTGTTGTTAATGAAGAAATTATTATTCTTTTCTGCGCCATACTCCCACTAATCTGACTTTGAACAGACGCCACTGAGTTTGTGTTGAGTTCCGCCTCTGACTGATCTCTGAACTCAGCAGAAACTGCATTTCTTTCTCTTCTTTCCCTCCAGCCTTTCTCCTGTTTATTGAGCTTCAGGATTTCTCAAGCTAAAACATTTGCACAAGGCTGCACCAGGAGAATTTGTGTCTAGCTGCAGCTTTACGTTCTATAATTGGCTTGGCGTTCTGCCTGAACAGCCAGAGGTCTGTGTTACTGAACAAGTCTTTGTTCTGCTCGTCCCTTAGATCTGACTCTACATGAACTCAACGTACTGAGGCCTCAGAGTGGCTCACCACGGAGCAGGTTAACATCAGTCCGGCCTCAGTTTGTAGAAGCAGTGTCTGAACCTGTTCTGAACCAGCTGCTGGATCAACTTTTGCACCAGGGTATTATAAATCAAGAAGAAATGGATTCAGCCAGGACCAGACCCAGGGCTGACAGGGCTCGAGCGGTGATTGACATGGTACGAAACAAAGGAACACAAGCCAGTTCAGCTCTGATCGAGGATTTCAGTATGTTGGATCCACACCTGTCCAGAACTCTGAACCTGAGCTGAAGTAGAACTGAGACTCGAAACACGATGAAATGGACTTCCATAGATAGCAGGGGCAATTCTAGGATCAGACCTTTAGGGGTGCTCGACCCCTAATGAGAATGTAGCATGCATACGATCCCTTGCAAAAGTGTTTACTCATCTGTGGAAATCACAAGTCGGACTACTAGAGAGGAGCTGGTGCAGAGCGGAGCGGGTCAGTCAAGGACGTCACTTTGTGTTGAAAAGTGAACATCAGGGGGTTTAGATTAGAGGCGTGATGATATAATTGGGGTCACTAGTCGTGACGATGCACGAGAACAAGACGATTTTTAGCACAATTTAGATTAAATATTTGATGCAGAAATATATGTGAGGAGACTTTGAGCATTAAACTCGTAATTTTCTGCATTCTGGAGACTTGTTCTGCTCATTGTTATGTTGCAAATGTCTGTTTTTATATGAGGTTAAACTACTCTTATTGCTTCTTATTGCACAAATAAACCTTTCTCAGAGCATTTTCATTTGTTAGTTAACATTTCTAATGGGGACAAAATCAGCCTTCAAAATGTGGTGGGGACACGACCCCTATGGGATCAGTGGACCAGTTCAGGGCCGTGCAGAGACCTTTGGAAGGGCAGGTGCTCAAAGTATAGAAGGGGCACATGGAACAAGGATTTAAATAGGGCTGTTCTCAAAATATCCATACAGAAATATATTGTTATGTAATCCTTGTAAATTATATGCGTATTCAGATGCTTCTGTATCGATACATCAACAAATGCTGTGACACAGTTTTGAACAGTTGCTGTTGATGGGTTGCCGGGGATGTTGCTGCTGCTGCTGTTGTTGCTGCTGATACTACTGGATGTGATCTGTGACTGGAGATATTATAACAGACATAGGAGATATATTAGCTGATGAAACAAATATGTGACCATGACAAGATGTAAAGATCGCTGACAGTATTTTGGACCGGCTCACTATGACTGACCTGCTGCAGCTGCTGCTGACTGCTACGAGAACATAAGAGGGAGACGCTCACAGAGACTGTTATTTAGTTCATATAATAAGTTTGCTATTAAATCTATTCAAATACTGATTCTGATTTAATTGATCTTTTTAAAAAGGGCTGATAAGTAGGCTATAATTCAGAGGAATAAGTAATAAACCTGTTTTGCCAATGTTATAATTATTTTAAGGCACACTACGTTTTTTTATTAAGTTACTGTAATAATCCCAGTTGAAGTGAGTTTTTTTTACATAATTACATAAAAAATACCAGACCTCGCAACGCCTGTGAAACCTTTCTCCCTCAGCAAGAAGGAAATGAACAGAGCACCTTTTGTTTATCTGTGTGCAGAAGCAACGTTAGCTGTGGGCGCAGTGTTAGTCGGCAGCTGACGTTACTTCTACAGGCGACACGCAGCGATATAAAACTACTGTGCTGCTCTCTTTGCGTCTTTCTTGTAAAATACATCCAACAACCCACAACAAGCACGTTGAGGTGAACCCGTCTTACCGGCGGGATCGCAGGAGTCCTGCAGGCAGAGCTGCTGAGTCACTAACGGGAGGGCTCGTCACGGATGAGGTCATAATGTGGGTCATTTTATTTACTGCAAAGTTATTATTAATTCATTTTACTCATTGTTTGATTCGGCAGGTCTTCAAAAAGGACCTTTACAAATTTCAAAGTGTGGAGCTGTAGGTTCGTGTTCACTCCCTCAGAGGAGGGAGGGAGATCAAAGTGTTCAGTCTTGTGTTTTCAGTTAAACCTTGTTACATGCTTGCTTTCTCTTTTAAGGAAGTAGTTTGTTGCTGATTGAGTTTAATTTGTCAGTATTATTTAATTGTTAAAAAAAGCTTTATGGTTATTTTGGTTGCAAAGAATCTAGTAGTGTAACGGTTTACTATTACTGCAGTACTAAGTTACTGAATGCACCATCCTTGGTGTGAATGCGCAGCTGGGCGGCAGGTCAGACCTGATGTTATTCAATTCAGCTGTTAACCAACAAGCTAAAGTGAAGTAATGGAACAATGCACCGTTTAGCTTAACAAGGCAGTCAGTGCTGTTGTAGCTGAGTCCATGTTTGACAGTGTGATACAAGTAGTTGCGTTTAACGTTACTTAATGTATATTGAGGCGCGTGAGGCTGTGATTGGATGACAGGTGTCGGTGACCATTGTCAAATGTCACGATCAGCACGGCTGCTGTTCTATCAGTCAGTGATCAGATCAGCGTAGTAGTCAATAAACGGGACAAGAGAGGTCACGTATCAAATCGATTAGGCCTAATATGGGACAGCTACATGCAACACTATTCCAGCAGTTCCGGCCATGATGTGTGTGTCAGGTGAGGTTAAATGACTCGCCCATGGACATTCAGCTTCCTCTCTAGTTCACCAACACATGCTGTTGTTGTGATGTTAGTTATAGCAACAGGAGAGTTGGGAGTATCTCATTCCGGATCTGCTGTGCTAGTCGTCTCATGTTCGCTTCGCAGCAGCAAGTATCAGCCATTTCTAAAGTACAACCTAGCTAATGTTAGTGATATGACTTGCTGTGCCATTGTTCACTCTGTCATGCTATTTGTGCTAGTATTGGTTTTCTCAAGAATTGCACACCTCATCTTTATGATGCAGAGACAAATCACGAGTTACTGCTGGAAATTATATTTAATTTACAATATTTCTATATGGGGATATGTATCATTATCAGCATATTTTAGTCATATCACAGAGACCTGTTTCCAGAGATAAATGACCTTAGTTTCCTTTTGATTAACTTTATAATTTAACATCGAGCCGAGGATTAATGTGGTTCATAGATAAATACAGGAAGGTACCTCACTGACTGCTGCTGTCCATTACAGCGATGCGTCAACGCTGACACCATATTAGTTTAAGGAAGCTGCGCCTTTCTGTTAAGGTAAGAATTCCATCCACTCCCCCAGGATAAACTGTTTCAGACGCTCCCACCCAGCTGGAGGCTGCAGAACCAAAACCTCACGCCACAAGATCACTTTGTTTCCGTCTGCAGCTGGCCTCATCAACAAGGCCCGGGTCCCCCGCTGTCAATGACTCTTACACTCAGTAGACACTACGTATTACATTAACGCACAAACATTTATAATTTATTCCGTGAACGTTTGTACAGTCCATCTTCTTCATTTCAAACCCTGTACAGCTGATTTTAAAAACAGATATGTTTAAAATATTTTATTGTAAAAGTTTCTAAAGGTGATTCTTGACATTGCAGTGCTTTTCTCTTACTGTGTTTATAGTTATGCACCAAAAGGCAAATTTCTTTTCTGTTAAAAACCTGGAAATAAATACAGCGTTGTTCCTACAGAGGGAGTTCAATTTGAACAGGAAGGACTCACTGCTGGTTCGCCTCACATCTTAGTCTCTTAGGAGAGGGGAGTCTATGCAACAGGCGTTAATGAAATGTTTCCCCGTTTTGTTTGGAGTCAGTCTCTATTATCAGTTATTCAGTCTGCTTTGTTTGTTTTGTGCTTTGAGTGTTGTTCAGTTTCCTTTCTTGGTTGGTTTTGATCTGTGCCTGTCTTCGTTCCTGTTTTATTCTGTTGTCTGATTAGTGCGTGGTTTCTCTCGGCCTGTCTGCTTAGTGTTAGTTGGGTCTCTGCCTGTTTTGTTGTTTGGTCCGTTCTGTGTCTTGGGTTTCAGTCTGGATTGTTTCTTGTCTTGTGTTCTGTCTGCTTGTCAGTTTGTTTCTGCTTTTAGGTCTGGTCCTGTCTGTTCCCCTTGATTGGTGTCTGATTTCCTCATGTGCTCCACCTGGTCTTAGTCCACCTTGGTACCTTGTGCTTAAATGTCATTTCTGTTCTGTCCTGGCTGGTTCGTGGTTCTCTCCGTCATGTGTGTCTGCTTGCCAGCCTGTTTGAACTGCCATTATCCTTTGTACTGCCACTCTGGATTATTCTTTGTTATGGATTTTGTGTTTTGCTGCCCAGCGGACAACCTCTGGTCAGTGGGGTTGACAGCAGCTGTGAGTGGGCCACTCTTATTAAGACAGCTTTTAAGATGTTAGCTGTCAGTGTGGTGTTGAGAAGAAACCCGCTTGACACTGTTCTTGATCATAAAAGTTTATTAAATCAAGTTCAGCATCAATTAGAAGCTCTGCAGCAGCTTGGAGAGAGACCCAGCCCGATGGCCACTCTGTCTCTCTGTACATCAAACACAGCTTATATAGGACATGTTTAGTATCTGTTAGACACCATAGAGGGGTTTGAGTCTGCAAAATAAAAGGTCAAACCCATAGAAGGGTACAGTACTATTCTGAGGTAACAAAACAAGGGGTCAGAGGTCAAATTCTATAGAAGGGTTCAGTCCCTACATAACCACCAATCACTGCTCTCCCCTTAGAAGGTCACTGACCCTCTGTCCTGCTGCTACAGTGCTATTTTAAACTGTTATGAGTCAAATGCACAAATATTGGATACCACATCAGCTAGCTACATTTGATAAAATAAGCAGGGTTAATTAGCTGTGTTGGCTATTAGCCAACAACTCTTACTAAGTTTTTTGTTTTAGTTTCTTGTTCCTGTGGGGAAATTTAGTTGCAGCAGAAATCACATGGAATTTGGCAACAAGTAAAAGCCTAAAAGAAAAAAAGACTGCCAAATTTAAAATCTGTCCAGAACTCTGAACCTGAGCTGACGTGTTCGTTGATTATAAAGTGTCTTTACAGATTGTTGCAAAAACCAAGCAGCTTATTAACATCAGCGTGAGAAGATGTTTACAAAATAAATACGTCCTCATCTTCCAGCAGAAACTGAATTTCTGTTCAATTCTTTATTTAAAGTATTTTTTTAAGACATAACCCGTATTAAAACCAGCAAATCACTGAAGTATCTGAAAAAACAACTGTATTTTTGATTCTTTCTTGTATTAATATGTAATTGTGTTTACATAGTATGCTTCTTTTTTTAAACTGATGATGTTGACGTAGCCTATTGTTTTCCAATTTCTGCTTCAAAGGTCAAAGGTTGCTGCTTTTGAAAGATGCTGTAACGAAACGATGGTTACAAAAAGTTACGAAAGTAAGTTCCTTTTTCAGCTGGAGAGAGGACATTACGAATGTGACTCGTGTTAGTCACACAAAGAGCATGTGAAGTGCAGAATTCTCTTCTTCAAGGTTTGTTTTAATTTAGACCAGAGAGGCGACTCTGAGACACGTCATGAATACAAACACACAACAAACACCATCATGTAACTTTTAAATGTCAGAAAAACAAAAGCTGATTTTCTTGCCGTGCACTGACCTCAAAATAAAGCCCACACTGTGTAATTTAAGATGTTTTTATCAGTTATTGATGTCATTGTCTCGTTGTTTTGAGATATACTTCCTCTTTCATTGGTTGTTGCAGTCAGTGGTTTTAGTACAAAGTGAGTTTAGTGTGTGATGAGTAAAAAGTTGTATTTCTAATAAACTCAGCTCAGCGCTTTCACAGGATTGCATTTTCCTACATACGTGTTCACCATTAGAGGACCTGTGAGCTCCTCTCAGACCTGCAGCTGTTTTACGAGTCTGATGGTAATCTAACGTGCCAGTCCCGTGTCTGAGTGCTGGAGTCACATATATGTAGTCGGTAACATTTCAATTTCAAAACGACAGTTTTAAGTGAATGATGTCGGATTAACAAACTGCAACAGCAGCTTTAACATTAAAGTGATGAATACATTAATGCATCAGTAATTATAATCCAGTAATATGTATTATTCAGAAATGGGCCATTCTGCATAATGGGTACTTTTACTTTTGGTAACTTGAGTTACATTTTGCAATCAGGACTTTTACTTGAAACAGAGTATTTCTACACTGTGGTTTTACTGAAGTAAAACATCTAAATACTTCTTCCATCATGCTGTCAGTGATGAAATCTGTCAGATAGTGATGAAGAGTCAGCGGCAGGGATCTCCAGTCTTTCTAAGGAGAGTATCCTGATGTTACACAGTGCTAACAGCTGTTCCTGGGTGTAAACAACAGGGCCGTGACTGAATGGGTCTCCCTCTTTAATACCACATCATTAAGATGGGAGTGACAAAATTGAGTTGAATCGTTTTTTCACTCAGGTAGGAAATCGCCTTGATGTTGTGATACATTGGATCAATCCGATCAGCTGCAGTTTCCAATCAACAACAGATATCCAATAAGATGGCGTGTTGGCCAGTGAAAGGTTTCTGTAAAGGCTGCACTCGTGTATCCTCGCTCCACGGATCAGAAATAAGAGCTTTGGGGAGGTCTGCAAGATGGCAGAACAGAACAACTTCTGGTTCAAGCCAGGATCAAAGAGTGAGGAAATATCAAATAAGAGACTTGGAATGTACAGAAGAGGAACACAATGAGAAATAAGAAGAGGCCAGGGTGTCACTGACTCACAAGGAAGGTCATGAGGAAGTGGATAAATGAGGAAGTGCAGTCAGTCAGCAGCGAGCAGAAAGAAGAAAAGAGGTGAGTGTTCATCAACATTATTATTAGTCTACTGACAGACTGTAACTTTATTACAATGAACTTTACTGACATTAAAACAAACAGGAGGTTGCTGTTGTCCGTTCTGATGACTTTCAGAGTTCTTCGGTTGAAGCTTTCCGATTTAAAGCAGCTGTTTAGTTTCCTCTCAGAGACGAGCTGCTGGCTGACGGTCTCCTGGATCAGGTTCAGAGCAGAAACACACAGCAGGGAGAGGAAGAAGTGTTTTCACTGATCATTGACCTTCCTCTGATGCTGTCCCTGCCTCACTCAGACTGACTGAAGATGAGTGAGGACGGCTGTCTGTCCATGAAGGGGGACGGGTCCACAGAAAGGTCTCCAGACTGCAGTGATGAACCCTCAGACACAAAGTAAGAGACATTTTCTAATCTGAAACATAGAAACAACAGCATTAAGACATCTCTGCTCTACACACCCACAGGTTTATGTGTTCCACGTCCAGTGTTCAAAGGTTTCTTTCATTTCCTGCTGTTTAAAGTCCTGATACATGTGGGCATGGTTCGAATTACGGGAGGGATTAAGATTAAGACTTGGACCCCCCCCAGAAGAGAAGAAAACAACAGTTCAGGGGGTCTTTCTTACCTGTAATTGTAAATATTACAATATATTTATTCAAGAAACTTGAAATAAGATTTCAGACACCCCTAAAATGGACCGTACCATTTCCTAACTTTGACTTTGAAAGTCTTGTCTGCCCACATCATTCGCAGCGGCAGATGCTCCAGTCCAGTCCACCTCACGCTGGTGGAGACGCTGTAATGTCACTAGCTATCTTGCTTCTTTAATACACTTAACTTTCCTACCTTCAGAGTTTCGTAATTAGCATTTCTTTTACTTAAAATGTGCTATCTGATGTTAGCTAGCTGAGAACCCATCATATCATGTGATTACCACTATATCCATATTTCATCTAATTGTCAGCCAGCACTGGTACTTAGGCATGAGCAGTGGAATAGAGGATTAGTTATTGTAGAGATACAGTTTGACATCCAAATAGTTCATTATTTAATTTTAAGGTTTTTGTGAGTCTTTTTATAATAAACAACCATTTGTTTTCACTCTGGAATTCTGGAGTGTTGAAATCCAGGTTTGTTATTTCAAATGTATTCAGTTTCAGTTTTATTTATGTAGCACCAATTTATGAAAAGAGTCATCTCATTCCCCTTTTCATATAGAACAGGGAAGAGATCCAATAATTCCTAATTCCCCAACAGTGTCTGACTGCTGCTTTATTGAACCCAGATTACACTGCATTCACAGTCAACATGAGCAAGAGGAGGTATTTCCTAAAAGTTTAAGTTTAAACTTACAACTTGAAATGAAAAGAATCAGGAACTAGAGATTGTAATGCAGCCTGTATTTTATGATAGTGTCTTTGGTTCTGGTTCAGCTTAGTGCGGGTCTGACTTTCTGCCAGTTTTGCTCTAGAATACTTGGTGACCACAAAAGTTGTTTTGTGGTATGGGGCACCCATCAACTGGTGGAATGAATGTGATTTATCATATACAGACTGATGATATTAATGAAATAAAAATAAAAATTGTAAGCATTGTAAGATTTTAGTTCACTGTTTCATGTACCTGTGCTATACAGGGTTTCCTTTATGACCGGAAAAAAGTTGACCCCCCTGGTTGTCACTGTATAATCGCACCCTGCATGTGGGAATAAATGAGGACTGGAGCGGTTCAGTACTTTCTGGGGAAGGTAGAAGCTAGATCACTGTCTGTAGGATGATTTGGTGGATTTGATCAGCTGACAGGTTTGCACAACAAACTTTAAACACTTGGAGGAAGGGTGCAGCAGTGACAGAATAATGATGAAATATAAAGCAATCGGATGCTGCAGGGATAGATGTGGCAATCCCAAGTGACCGCAACATCAAGAATAAGGAACACGAGAATCTTGAGAAATACCAAGGGCTGAAAGAGGAGCTAGAAAAGATGTGGAAAGTAAGAGCAACAGTGGTGCCAGAGGTAATCTGGGGGCTGTGACCCCCAAACTGGGAGAGTGGCTACAGCAGTTTCCAGGTAAAACATCAGAGGTCTCTGTCCAGAAGAGTGCAGCTCTGTTTATCACTTGCTTCCCATGTTAATAAAGACTATGTTCTTCAACAGATGTTTTATCTTGTGCCCAGACATGTTTACTTGAGACTACAAATCTGACCCTGAACATGGGATACAGAAATAGAATAGAATAGAAACACATAAAGTTCTACCACCCTAACGCAATTCCCCACCCATCTGGTCTATGAGGTGGTTCAGTGATGTTCCGAGACACCTCCCAAATCCCCAAACTATACCTAATCTTGCTTGCTTTCATTACGTCTCACCTCTATTGATAAACAGAAACCACCTAGCCTAAGGCAAAAGTAACCCTACCCCTAACATAAAAATCCTAAACAAATACTACCAGTAACACTTCATGGCAGTATAACATCAGGTCAACTAAACTTCAGGGATATCAATCTGTCCAGTTTGGAAACTGAAGCAAATGTGAATCAGTGTCACATGCTGTGGTACAAATGAAAGTGACAACAGGCCCAAAAGGGAACAGTTTTGCAGATGGTGGCCACAGATAGTTGAGATAGCTATCACCTTATCCTTCTTGACTGATTGTTTTCTAGCTGCGTTTTTGTAGTTTACTTGCAGCCTATTCAGGTTGCACAGGTAATCCTGGATTTTACCCAGGATGGCACAGCAATATGTGCCATTGCAAGGTTTGTTGTTTCTCACAGCACAGTTTCAACAGCATCAAGGAGATACCAGGAGATGGGCTGTATAAAGGTATCAAGGACCGGTATCTGCTCCTTCGTAGGAGGAGGAACAGGAGGAGCACTACCACAGCCCCACAAAATGGCCCCAGCGGGCTACTGGTGAGCATGTTTCTGACCAAACTGTCAGAAACAGTCTCCATGAAGGCCTGACTTCCTCCAGTGAGATCTGAGCTCACAGCCCAGCACAGGGCAGGTTGACTGGCATTCGACATTCAGAGAAAAATGCTACACCAGAAGCCCCAAATCTTTAGCCATTGCCCCCAGAGGCTAAATTGGCATTAGACACCGATGGGTGCTGAGACTGACTACACACACTCTCTAAACACACTGACTAGTCCATTCTAAAACATATTCTCTTTTATAAAGGAGACATCACATTATTGGAGCCCATTATTCCCATGTTTAATTACATCTTTTTGAACCTTTTTGCAATTTTTTGCAAAGAGTTTTGTGTTGTATTCTTAAAATTACGATGGTATAAACACAACTTCACATCAATTACAATCTTATTATAAAACAGAGTGTGTAGGCAATTCCTGGATGATGAAAACATTGATGCCATTGACTAGCCCTCATGTTCCTCAGACCTGAATCCTAGTGAGAAGTTCTTGGACATTATGTATCGTGCGTCGGACACTGCCAAATAGACTGTCTAGGAGCTCATTGATGTCCTGGTCCAGTTCTGGAATATCCCTCAGGACACCTCCGCCATCTCATCAAGAGCATGGCAAGTCGTTCTCAGGAGTGCATACAGACACATGGGGCCCCTGCACTCTACCAAGTCACATTATGAGTTGTCATGATGCAAGTCAAGCAGGTTGGATCAGGCAGTGATAAAAATTTTTACTTACTGATTTTGGTTTCAATTGACTGTTGTTGGCCATTTTGTTCTGAACTTTGATTTCATTACGTATTTCGTTCACCCTCACTCAGCTCTGTAAATACTTTGTGCTGGCCTTTATGCGTGAATCAGAACAGAAACAGTCTGTGAAACCAAGGGTTAGGTACAATACTTTGCTATAATAATCTACAATAATGTCTTCACAGAGAGAGCCAGAGGAGTCCTGTTTCTGTGGAGGAGCAGCCGTCCTGCTGTGCTTTGTGTCAGGACGTCCTGGAGGATCCAGTCTCTACCAGCTGTGGACACTGGTTCTGCAGACAGTGCATCACTTCCTACTGCGACCAGTCTGCTTCATCAGGAGACTCCTCCTGTCCCCAGTGTGGAGACAGATCCAGAACCAGAGCTGGACTGCAGACAGCCAGTCAGAGCAGCTCTGTACAAAGTAAGACTGGATCATTTACTCTTTATTATTATTTCAATTAAAGAACACAGATACATACGTGCCAGCTGAGCCTTAACACACTTAAAAAACACACATAAAGAAGATGAGAAAAAAACAATAAATAAAAAGGGGCACAGCAAGTGGAGGATCTGGCTCTACTTTACTAACATAATCTACATGTAGCCTATATGAATACACACACCTATCTATATACATATACATACACTGAACAAAATTATGAATGCAACACTTGTTTTTGCCCCCATTCATCATGAGCTGAACTCAAAGATCTACGACTTTCTCTATGAACACAAAAGGCCTATTTCTCTCAAATATTGTTCTCAAATCTGTCAAAATCTGTGTTAGTGAGGACTTCTCCTTTGCTGAGATCCATCCACCTGACAGGTGTGGCATATCAAGATGCTGGTCAGACAGCATGGGGATTGCACAGGTGTGCCTTAGGCTGGCCACAATAAAAGGTCTTAGGCTGGCCACAATAAAAGACCACTCGAAAATGATCTATGATTAAATCTCCGATGTTGAAGCTTGATGTCTGTGAAGGTTCTCAGTCATCCAGGTCATAGTTATCCAAAGAATGTTAAGAACTTGGTTGAAGATACAATGCCTTAGCTTCCTTCTATATATCATTGTTAGGGACAGATATACTGGGCAGTAAAGATCTGCTGTTCCAATGTGACAACCTGCTGCTATCTGTTCCAAATAATAACAAGTAATTGAATATGTTGCATGTTGAGATTAAAGAAAGACATAGTCTTTACCTGACAGATTTAGATGTTTCCAAACATCAATCAGTTCCAAGTCCAAAAAAAGGACCACAATGGAAATAAGCCGTCTGGCTTCATTGTGTTTTTATCCTTTTGATGGTGTCTGTAGCTGGGGCATCTCTTGTTGGAGGCGCCACTTTTATATTTAGAATCAATAAAGAAGCTCAATCAATCAATCATCTCTGATATTATTAAGGTTTTCTAATTTGTTTTTACTTCAAGGCGAGGGTTCAGAATCGCCCCTGCATATAAGAGTCCCCTTGTGATTCTGTTGCAATCCAGTATTTGTACATAAAAATCTGGCACATAGCCAGGGGAAATATATACATTATAGAGGGTAAACAAATTTCGATAAATTTTTCCTATATTAGTATGAATCTGCATTCTCTGTCCTTTATAGTGGCTATATACATTATATACCTTACTCTTCTGGAAATCAGTATAACTACTCCTCTAGTACGCTTGAACCATTTGAGAAGGAAAATACTTAAATCCTTGTGTTTCAAGTTTTCTGTGTTCTGTCCCGTCATGTTGGTTTCTTGCAAGAATGCAATGTCTACATTCTGTCGTATAAATTTGCAAGACTTTTGTTTTGTTAAACAAGGCTAAGAAGCCCTTTGATGTTTAGAGAAATAAAATTAACAATGTGGTGCCTATGCTTAAAGATTTAGTTTTAGTGCAATATTGCATATTTTACATTTGTTTATTTATTATATAAACAGATCTCTCGTATTTTTAACACAAACCAGTTACACACACTTAGGAACATCAGAACAGAAACTTCCCAGAATGCAGGGACTGTTGTCCCTCTTGGGTCACTGTTGAAGGGTGGAGGGAAAAGACCCTCCCAAATGTTTGGGGCCCTCCCTAGAGGTGGAATGACCGACCTGCATGTACATTCCATATCCCCTAGATATGTCCAACATAAGCCAAATAACTAGTCTGTTCAATCTGTAATATTCAGTATTTGCTAATTGTCTTCCTTTGCATTGTAGCCCACATGTTCCAATCGAAGGAGAAGAGAAGAGATTGACTCAAAGTTTCCTTCTTAATTTCGAGTCAGTTCACTTGTAGCTCTGTGTAGTTTCCATTATTTTAATGTTGGGGTGATCTCCGAAACTCCTGACGCTTTTTTCTCACTTGTGTCTCCATTCGTTTCCTCCTTCCCTGGCGTCAGACTGTTGACATGGAAATACCTTCAGTATGTTCTCTTCCATGCTGGAGCCTGGGTGCTCTCCATTGGTGGCTACCTGGATACCCCGCTTTCTCAGCTCCAGCGGTGGCCTCCTGCGTGTCCCCATAGTTCCAGTGGATTCGTATACTTGTGCCTATGCCTTTCTCTTAAATGCGTTATAAAAACACTATATATACACACACACACATAGGTTCTAATATGTTTTAAGCTTTAAAAATGACTCTCTGCATGATGAGTCTTGGCTCCAAGTTTTAAAGTGTACTGCATGGATTTAAATAATTTACTCTGTAAAGTGATTCTGTTTTAACCAAAGATAACTATTATAAGCAGTTTTCAGTCAAAGATATCAAAGGTCCAGGCTCAAATGCATAAAAGAGATAAGGATCCAGGTGCGAGAAGGGAGTATGATGACAGATGTAAATACCATAAATTATTATCTGTCAATTGAAAACATTATGAGCATTTGTCTATGAAGATTCTCAGTCATCCAGGTCATAGTTATCCAACGAAGGTTAAAGTCAAGGGCAACTGGACTTGGTTGAAGATACTGGAAGACGTTTCGTCCCTCATCCAAAGGACTTATTAAGTTCTGTTTGTTCGTTTTTTTTATCTTGGTTAGTCCATAAATGCATGGAATGGCTTCTCCAGGATTCAAACGGTAATATTGTTCACGGGTGACGGTGTTGTCCTTCTGTAGCTGTTGTAGACATTCTATGGCCTTTTTCTTGTATCCGCTGGTTGGGTCTCGTCTCAGTGTCTCATACGTGTTTGTGTCCATTAGTAGTGTGTTGACTTTGTTCTGGTAGTCCGCTGTGTGAAGGACTACCGTGCATCTTCCTTTGTCAGCAGGTAGGATAGTGATGTTTTGATCCTTGCTCAGAAATGTCACAGCCTTCCTTTCTTGGATGGTGAGGTTGGAAGGGGGGGCCTTCGCATTAGAAAGGGCTGCAGATACCTTTAGTCTGAGCTGTTCCGCTTCTGTTTCTGTTAATTTGTTTTTCCAAATGGCCGATTCTGTGGCTGTGATGAGGTCTACTATAGGTAGTTGCTGTGGTGTAATGGCAAAGTTTAATCCTTTGGCCCGAACGTCTTTCTCTGGTTGGGTGAGTTCCCTATCTGACAAGTTTTTCACCCATCTGTTGTCTGGTTCTTGTCCTTTCTCCTCCAAGATAATTCTCCTGTTTTGTTAGTGCAGCTCGCTCTGGACTGTAGGTTTTGGAATTTCCGGGTCTGTCTTTCTTTGCTTTGTTGTGCTGAGATAGCTGTGCTTTCTTGATGAAGTCCATGACCTTTCCCAGTGCTGTACTGGTCAGATATGTTTCTAGTTTGTGGTGTATGTTGTCCAATTCTTTGTTCAGGGCTTCAATTGTGAAATGTATCTGTCTCACTCTCTCATTCAGTAGCTGGTGTTGCGGTTATGAGCATTTCAAGCCAAGAATAGTAGTTTCAAGGAACCCTTCCGAGAACTAATGGCCATTCTCTGTCAAGAAAAGCCATCTGCAAAAAATAATGATCATTCTGTGCCAAGAACAACACTTCAAAGGGTTACTTTGGAAAACCCCTAAGATTCTGTTAGGAGAAACATTTGTTTGTGAAATACTATGAAATGTTATACAGAAGGGTCTTTATAGCACCACAGTTGATTTAAAATGGATTTTATATGTTAATATGTCCCTTTAGGTTACAATACAATAGTGAATATATTTATGCATGGTTATCTTTATAAAATGTATCTTGACTTTCTGAAGTTCTAATGGTTAACACTTAACTATCCAAAAAATGTAAGACAATATTATGATAAAATCTGATTAACAGTATAGCCCATATTGACATACAAAAAGTAAAATAAATAGTTAGTTGGAAGAAAGTGATAATTAGTACCTAAGTGTTGCCACCAGATGGTATACGATAGTACTGATGCAGTACTGATGGAAAATTACCAAGGAAGAAGGTTTTGAGTGGAAAAGTACCACAGTAGAAGATCACATTTGAGAACGACACCGCCAAAAGTTGCCCTCCGAGTCCTCAGGCACACCGTACATCCGAATGTTGTTTCTTCTGGATCTGCTTTCCACATCGGTCACTCTTTCCCACAGCCTGTGTTGTTCTTTCAACAGGCTAAGCAGATTGCTTTGGTTAAAGCGATGCTTGTTTCCGCATCTAAAATGCGCTCCTCCACCTTGGTGATAACCTGGCCTCAAGCTTGTAGTGTCTTACATCCTTGAGCAGTTTCTGGTTAAGCTTATGTTTTAGGGTTTATAGCTCTGCTTTCAAGTATTTCCTTAAATTCACCTTGAGCTCAGAAATATCCTTGTGCATATCTTTTGTTAAAGTCATGGAGGTCTTTAGAAATAGACATTTCACTGAGCAACTCGTCCACGCAACTTCTTTGCTAGCTAACTTGGTGGCATTGTCTTCGTTGGAAGCATCCAACCAGTCAGAAGGGCGCCATTTGGTCCTTTCAGTTTAGTTCAGTAACCTGATTTTCGAACTCTTCTGACCTTTCTGTGGTGTCTCCATAGTCATTTCGCTTCCTTCAAAAGATTGCGAGGAGAGCTGCCCAAATTAAGTTTTAGGGGTTTTAGAGTCGAGGTGTTGTTTTTAGGACCAATTGAGACTGGACAGATAACTATACGCCTATCCCGAACATGGCTTCACTGGAAGCCCTTGATATTTAGGGCCTGAGCACGAACCGTGCGTGGTCCCTATTGAAACTGTAAAGAATTTTTCTTCTTTTTTCTGCAAAGTAAGCTCAATTTTGGGGGCCTAAACATCCTCGAAAACTCACCAAATTTTGCACACATGTCAGAAGTGGTGAAAAATTTCGTATTTTATGGGATTCGCGCATGGGCGTGGCAATATGACTCGCTACCGCCACCTAGAAAATTTGAGAAATTAGTCCACGTTCAACCTACATGCACGAAATGTTCAGGGGACATGTATCATTTCAAGATGCACAAAAAAGCCTCAAGAACCCATACCCTAAACTCAACAGGAATACGGCCATTTTTGGATGATTTACACACTTTGTACTTTAACGAACTCCTCCTAGGGATTTAGTCGAACCGACTTCAAATTTCTGATGTGCCTTATATTCATAGCGGCAAGTGCTATGTAGCTCCACATAGGGGACACATGAAGTGACATATAACACCTCCATGCAGTGTCGGAACTGCGTAGCAAATTCAAAGCCGCACACACAAAATATGCAACGCGGCCGGCTCACACCCCCCGACGTGCTACAAGAGCGAGGGCCCACCCATCGCTGTTTGCAGCTTTAATCTGATATTGTTTTTATATTAGTAATGCAAACAATCAGCACATATTCTTTGTTTTATCTCACATTGTTTCTCTTCTTTAGTGAGTGGTGGTCTGCAGGAGGTTTTAGATGAACATAAGATCAGTCTGAGGAGGAGATGTGAACGTGTGACTGAAGGAAGTGATGAAACAGGAAGTGGAACCCTCCTCAACAGGATCTACACTGAGCTCTACATCACAGAGGGACAGAGTGAAGAGGTTAATACCCAGCATGAGGTGAGGCAGCTTGAGACAGCTTCCAAGATGGAGATCCTCCATGACACTCCAATCAAGTGCCAGGACATCTTTAAAGCCTTACCTGGCCAACAGAGAGCCATCAGAGTGGTTCTGACCAACGGCGTCGCTGGCGTTGGAAAAACCTTCTCGGTGCAGAAGTTCACTCTGGACTGGGCAGAGGGCTCGGAAAACCAAGATGTCGTTCTGCTGGTTCTGCTCTCGTTCAGGGAGCTGAACTTGATCAAAGATGAGCGGCACAGTCTCCTCACGCTGCTCCATGTTTTCCATCCAACATTACAGAAGGTCCCAGCAGAGAAGCTCGCCGTCTGGAAACTGTTGTTCATCTTTGACGGCCTGGATGAAAGCAGACTTTCATTGGATTTCCACAACAGTGAGGTTGTGTCTGATGTCACACAGAAGTCATCAGTCAACCTGCTGCTGACAAACCTCATCGAGGGGAATCTGCTTCCCTCGGCTCTCGTCTGGATAACTTCTCGACCTGCGGCGGCCAATCAGATCCCTCCTTCGTGTGTCGGCAGGGTAACTGAAGTACGAGGCTTCACTGACGCCCAGAAGGAGGAGTACTTCAGGAGGAGAGTCAGTGATGAAGAGCTGTCCAGCAGAATCATCTCACACATCAAGACCTCCAGGAGCCTCCACATCATGTGTCACATCCCAGTCTTCTGCTGGATCACTGCTACAGTTCTGGAGCACATGTTGACTACAGAGCAGAGAGGAGAGCTGCCCAAGACCCTGACTGACCTGTACTCACACTTCCTGCTGGTTCAGATAAAGAGGAAGAAGCAGAAATACGATGAGGGACAAGAGACGAGTCCACAGGAGCTGACGGAGGCTGACAGGGAGGTTCTTCTGAAGCTGGGGAGGTTGGCATTTGAACAGCTGGAGAAAGGAAACATCATGTTCTACCAAGAAGACCTGGAGCAGTGTGGTCTTGATGTCACAGAGGCCTCGGTGTACTCAGGAGTTTGTACAGAGATCTTCAAAAGAGAGAGTGTGATCTTCCAGAAAACAGTCTACTGCTTTGTTCATCTGAGCATTCAGGAGTTTCTGGCTGCAGTCTACATGTTTCACTGTTACACTAACTGGAACTCAGAGGTACTGGAGGACTTCCTGGGAAAAGACTGGAAATACAAAAACAGTGCCTCATCCCTGGATGTCTTTCTGAGGAGAGCCATGGAGAAATCCCTTGGAAGTAAAAATGGCCACCTGGACCTGTTAGTTCGCTTCCTTCATGGCCTCTCTCTGGAGTCCAACCAGAGACTCTTAGGAGGCCTGCTGGGTGAGACAGACAACAGTCCAGAAATCATCCAGAGAGCCATCAACAACCTGAAGGAGATGAACAGTAATAAGATCTCTCCTGACAGAAGCATCAACATCTTCCACTGTCTGACGGAGATGAACGACCACTCAGTACATCAGGAGATCCAAGAGTTCCTGAAGTCAGAGAACAGATCAGAGAAGGAACTCTCTGAGATCCACTGCTCAGCTCTGGCCTACATGCTGCAGATGTCAGAGGAGGTTCTGGATGAGTTGGACCTGCAGAAGTACAACACATCAGAGGAGGGACGACTGAGACTGATTCCAGCTGTGAGGAACTGCAGAAAGGCTCGGTAAGTCCAGATGTAATTAACATTATAAATCAGTGTACATTTGTGTGGGTGGCGATGGTGCATTGGATAATATACATGCCTTTGGTGTGAGAGACTCAGGTCATTCTACTTACATCTAATAATTGTTGCATTTGACAGTTTTGTCGTCTGTATATCTTCATCTGAGTGATGAAGCAACATGCAAAACTGGTAAAACACAGGGACTTTAGGTTAAGTTTCATCACAGCAGTATTTTATCACAACATATTGCAGTATTTCACAGTAATCAGTGAATGCAATAAAGTAATTATTACCTGAGTAGGTTCTGCACTGTCTTATATCATCAGACATACAGAGACATACCTGATTGTTTACCGCTATGCTTCAGAGTTTGAAATAAGATCTGTTTTATTTTCCATAGAATATATCCTATCCTTGCGGGTCTATTTCAAGTACTATTTAAAAACGATATAATAGTCTTTGGTGATAAATGATCCAAATGTCCAGCGAGGTGCGGACAACTCGGCACAACACTGGTGAAGATGGGGCTTCGTCTCTTTAGCAAGTGTTCCTCTTCTGCCACTACACACAAACATCCTACGCTTAGACAAGAGCACAGACTCCCCGTCCTTAAGGGTTAGAGTTACAATTTAGGATTTATTCATACACTTTAAAAACAATTATAAAATGCTTTTTTCTTTTTACATGTTTAGTGACAACACTACATGTTGCAATTTATATTGTAATAGACGGTATGTTAACTTATTGGGAAAAAACGGTTTCTATGTAAAATCAGACATTGAGCACCCACATATTGCCAAAATGGCATGATCCACATTTCGCTGCAAAAGTTTGACTGTCAAATCAGGCTCTGTCCATCGAAGCACCAAATTATCAACTCTTCGGGATCAGTCCTAGTAAAAAGTGCTAATAAAGGATTATTATTATTAAAGTGTAACCTCTCCTGAAGCAGTCACTATTGTTTATTTATGTGTCCTGAAAGAATTCCTGGCTGTGGACTCTCAGAGACTCACTTTGAAGTTGTGGCCTCAGCAATGAAGTCCAAACCCTCCTATCTGAGAGAGTTGGACATGAGCAAAAACAAGCTGCAGGATTCAGGAGTGAAGCTTCTGTCTGCTGGGCTGGAGAGTCAACACTGTAGACTGGAGAGTCTGAGGTCAGTTCACTTCTTGTAATGAAAAGTTGAGAAATGAAACATTTGATTTTTGAAGCTTTTTAGCTTCCACAGACTCACATTGTGTTCCATAAGTCAGTGGAGATGATATCAGTACTGATGAGGCTGTAGAGTGTGTGAGGGATATGAATGAGGGTTGAGATGAATGGGGCAGTGGGGGGTGCTAATGCTAACAGGGAAGATCTGATGATAGCAGATAGAAACAGGCTGCAGAAAGTTTGAGAGAGACAGGATAAATAAAGAAAAGAATGACATAAGTGCAGCTCAATAAAGGGGAAGTTAGGAACTGTGATGATCATGATCTTTATGATATCAGAAGTGTAATTACTACCAAACAGTTACCACAAAGCAAGCTCAGTTCTTGTTCTCCCCTGTGACACCACAATGGTGGAATGAGCTACCACCTGCCATCAGAGTACAGGCGTGCCTCTCTAACTTCAAGAAACTCAGCAGAGAACACTTCTTCTGAGAACACCTTCCTTCCTGTGATCTTCTTCTTCTGTCTCCTTACATATCCCTTGCATTGATTGCACTATTCCATTATCCCTTACTTCTTTCCTTAGGTATTTACCCCACTGATGCCATACGTACTATTAGCTTTTACTTGTATTTACTGCTGCTCTTAGTAGTATGTATTGTCACTTGTAGATATCTTACTATATTGATGCTTTATTGATGCTTGCATGTTGTTCTTGAAATGTAAGTTGCTTTGGATAAAAGCGTCTGCCAAATGAGTAAATGTAAATTTACTACAAAAAGATCGCAGGTAAGACCAGTCATAATGGTTGTGATTTAGAGCAACAGACTTTAAATAGTTTTTAAAAAGTTTCTGTTTTCTAGTAAAACAAACTCTATTTAGGAAGAGATGTTTGGTGATAAAGTTCAGTAAAATTAGGATCTTCATGAAGATTAAACTGTATATTAACCTCACAGTTCCTCTGGTTCTGCTGCTCATTAGAACATGTCAAAAGGAGCAGCACTCTTCAACAAACAAGTAGTGCACCTTCTGAAAATCCAAGAAGTGATAATTATGAATGACCCATTATCATTAATACTTTTTGTACATACCGACTCTGAGAAGTTTTGTCAAACACGCTGAGGTAATTTTTACTATGGTGCTAGATGCTGATTTTACTCATTTTTATCCTGTATTTTATCAAACATTTTACTTATACTTGTTTTCTCTTGTATTCTATCCAAATACTCCAATAATGCTGTCGTATTTGCACTGCATGCTTTGTGATTTATTATATGTGTGTACCTTTAAGGTTGCTGTATTTGTTTAAAAAGCTTTGTATTTGTTTTGCTTGTATTTATTTTTTCTCCCATATTTCATGTTTTCATTTTTTTTTTATCTCCTATCATTTATTTTTTATTCAGATTGAGGGGCTGTCGTTTGTCAGAGATCAGCTGTGCTTCTCTGGACTCAGTTCTGAAGTCCAACCCCTCCCATCTGAGAGAGTTGGACCTGAGTGAAAACAACCTGCAGGATTCAGGATTGAAGCTGCTGTCTGATGGACTGCAGAGTCCACACTGTAGACTGGAGACTCTGAGGTCAGACACCATTTTTTCCTTCTGTGCTGCGATTAATATGATGTGAAAGTTGTGGTGACACTATCAGTGACAGGGGGTCACACACTACACTAGCTGACAACAAAAGTCACCCAACAACTACATCTTGTCTCAAAAATCACATTTTATCAAGAACACACATGCAAGTGACACAGGAAATGATGGGAAACTATGCCTGTAACTGGAATTGTTTACTATTATCAAGATAGACAACGACAAAGAAAATGGGTAAAAGAATGAATTGTCATATGCAGGCAGCAGGGTTGTCTGGGCTACAGAGATAGTTGGATGCGAGTAAAAAAATGTATTGCAGTGACAAAGTAGCTGCCTGCTCTGCTAGCTGCCTGCTCTTATTAGTTAGATGTGGATGTCAAGTTGTCCAAATAATTAGCATGCTAGATATCTGTCTGGCGTCTGCAATGCATCGGTTTCCATTTTCTAAACTTGTACATTGTGACGTCATGAGAGGTTTCCCGAGCCGGTTACGGGGTGGCAGTGACACTGAAGGCGAACAAACAGTCAAAAAATAGGTTTCCAAACAATAGTAGGCTTTATTTTTCCTCGTGGCAAACAAAACACAAGTTGCTCAGCCTCTTTTCCTTAAACAACTGTCCAACTTAAAGTGTTGCATCGGAGAGTAAAAACTAAGCTCAAATGAACACATTAAATAAATATGGCTTTGTGGTCAACACAACATCAAACTTCCCTTGACATGGGTTGTCCTTTTGCGACCTGTCTGGTGACTCTGAATCCTCCTGCAGTGCGCTTCAGGCTCCTGTGCTCCTCTTAACTGGTCCCTCATGCTCTCTCTTTGTCCTTCCTCAATCACGTGTAAAACACCTGCAGCCGTGTGTGGACTGTCTAGGGTTTGTAGTGGGAGTGGCGGCCATCTTAGAATCATGAGGCTGATGTATTCTGGGAGATGTTTTGGGATTGGCGGCAGCCATCTTGAAGCATGCCACCCGCCCATATGCCGGAATGTAGCGCCCCCCTACCACCTGTCCCCTGGTGATGCCACAACATTTTAAACCTTCTTCAGCTCTGAACAGATTTCTAAACACTAAATGATTTTAAGCCGGAACATTTTCTTTTAATGTTACATCATTTATTCTTTATTCAGATTGAGTCACTGCAGTTTGTCAGAGATCAGCTGTGCTTATCTGGCCTCAGCTCTGAAGTCTAACCCCTCCCATCTGAGAGAGCTGGACCTGAGTCTCAACGAACTGCAGGATTCAGGAGTGAAACTGCTGTCTGCTGGACTGCAGAGTCCACACTGTAAATTGGAGACTCTGAGGTGAGACGCCATGTTTTACTTTTGTGCTGAGATTAATATGGTAAAAGTTGTGGTGACACTGAACTGCAGACATAAGGCTAATATTATAGTGTTCTAAACTCAGTATCTTAATGCTAAAGTCTGCGACAGTAACAAATATAATCAGTATTTGCTTTTTCCAACATTGTTTTTAAGCTCTTATGTGATGCTTATACTGACTAAATAGTTTAAAGTGAAGAAGCTTTGATTTGATGACTAACATAACATCATTTATTCTTTATTCAGACTGAGTTGGTGCAATTTGTCAGAGATCAGCTGTGCTTCTTTGGCCTCAGCTCTGAAGTCCAACCCCTCCCATCTGAGAGAGCTAGAGCTGAGTCTCAATGACCTACAGGATTCAGGAGTGAAGCTGCTGTGTGGATTCCTGGAGAGTCCACAATGTGGACTAGAGATTTTAAGGTCAGTTTACTGACTCTGTTTCTACTGTAGATCTCATATATTTAATTATTAATTAAACCTAATTTATGTTCATACATAAACTTACATCCATAAAGTTGTAGATTTCCTGTTTTTTTCTTTAAAATTTCATGTTTTCTGTACCAATTTTAGTCTGCAGTCACATAGACTTCTGTTTCTTAAAGAAAATATAGAAAAAGTGATACTGGACATCAAGTGTTCATCCCACAGCTTCACACGGGACACCATATCATTGTTGTCAGGATGAGATTTAGCGCCAAATCACAACAACAGTTATCTCCCAGTGCTTTTCATAAAAGAGTCAGGCCAGGAAAAACTTCCTTTTAAGAGGCAGAGAGATGGAAGGCAGCCTACACAATATACACACATAGAGGTACAGACCGTAAAGGTGATGTTGCTAAAGACTAAATGAAAAATGGTACAGATATTTATAGTAGTGTTAATGGTAACAGTCGTAATGTTAATGATTATAATAACAATAATACCAATAATTAACAAAACAAA